CTCTCCATATCTATTCAATACTGTTCTTGAGGTCCTAGCTAGAGCAATAAGACAACAAAAGTAGATCAAGGGGATACAAATCGGAAAAGAAGTCAAACTCTCACTATTTGCTGATGATATGAGAGTTTACATAAGTGATCCCAAAAATTCTACCAAGGAACTTCTACAACTCATAAACACCTTCAGTAATGTAGCAGGATACAAGATTAACTCAAAAAAGTCAGTAGCTCTCCTTTACACAGATGATAAATGGCCTGAGAAAGAAATCAGAGAAACATCACCCTTCACAATAGCCACGAATAGCATATCTTGGAGTAACTCTAACCAAACAAGTGGAAGACTTGTATGACAAGAACTTTAAATCTTTGAAGAAAGAAATTGAAGAAGACACTGGAAAATGGAAAGATCTCCCATGCTCTTGGGTAGACAGAATTAACATAGTAAAAAAACGGCAATTTTACCAAAAGCAATTACAGATTGAATGCAATGCCCATCAAGATCCCAGGAAAATTCTTCACAGACCTCAAAAGAACAATGCTCAACTCCATATGGAAAAACAAAAACCTAGGATAGCCAAAACAATCCTGTACAATAAAGGAACTTCTGGAGGCATCACAATCACTGACTTCAAGCTCTACTACAGAACTACAGCGCTGAAAACAGCCTGGTGTTGGCATAAAACCAGACAGGAAGACCAAATGGAATCTAATTGAAGACCCAGATATCAATCCACACACCTACAAACATCTGATTTTTGACAAAGAAGCAAAAAATATAAAACGAAAAAAAAGAAATCATATTAACAAATGGTGCTGGCATAACTGGATATCAACATGTAGAAGAATGAAAATAGATCCGTATCTATCGCCATGCACAAAACTCAAGTCCAAATAGATCGAAGACCTCAACACAAAACCAACCACACTGAACCTCACAGAAGAGAAAGTGGGAAGTACACTTGAATGCACTGGCACAGGAAACCACTTCCTAAATAGAACCCCAGTAGCACAGACATTGAGAGAAACAATTAATAAATGGGACCTCCTGAAACTGAGAAGCTTCTGTAAAGCAAAAGACATGGTCAACAAGACAAAATGACAGACTTCAGAATGGGAAAAGATCTTCCACCAACCCCACATCATGGATCAAATTTACATGGGAAGACATACATGGATCTAATTTACATGGGAAGTAGAAAAAGACAAGATCTCTAGGCCTGGATTGCAATTCAAGCAAGTAGATGAGTTGATTGCATCACCGAAGAGGCCCTAGAGTGATGGTCAGGAGACAAGAGGACTTAATAGCAAAAAATAATAATTCAAGTATTGGCAGCAGAGGTAAATTCTCTACCCACCTCCTTCCTGGAATTGTGTGAGGTATGGCAAGGGGGGTGAACAGCCACTGGCAGAGAGATCTGAAGGGGAAGTGGTATTGAGGCACAGCTTCTCAACCACAACAGGAAGCAGAGGGTCGGCTTCCTGAACTGATGAGACACATGGTGTTTATTGACTATAGAACTGCATTAGGAAGGGTCACTAGGAAGAGGGTAAAGCGTGCCTCAGAAGGAGCGAGTTTGAGAACAGAATGGAGACCATGGAGTCGCCAACGAAGACAAGGCTGAGATATTTGAGCAGATGCAACACTGCAGTCCTGACCGGAACCACACATTTCACGTTCTGGTTTCTAAACTAAAGAGAACACTCTTTTCAAATGGAGAGAACAAGTGATAGTCAGTGAAGGGTCCACGAATAAGAAGATAGAAATGTAGATTCCAGAAATAGGAATGTAAAAATAAAGAAATATAAAGTCGGAAGCTTAGGAGAATGAGAGCAAGCTGTTAGCAGCTTTCTCAGCAGCTTAAGGATCAACTATAATCAGTGAGTTACTTTGCTTTACAACCCATAGCTCTGTCTGCAAGGCTGAAGCAGCCCTCTGCAAACTGAGGGACAGTTAGATAACCCCCGCCCCCCGCCACTCATGACCAGCAATTGATGGGAGCTGAGTTATCTTTAAAATGATGGGATGAGAGGCAGGCGGATCTCTGTGAGTTCGAGGCCAGCCTGGTCTACAGAGCTAGTTCCAGGACAGGAACCAAAAGCTACAGAGAAACCCTGTCTCGAAAAAAAAAAAAAAATGAGGGGATGTACCTGACTTTTTGGTTGTTCTTTTTCCCTTACCCTTCCCTGCTACACAAAACTGGCGGTATCAGGGGAGTGTAGAGCTTTGGTAAACACCATCAGAAAGTGCCAGAAGAATACAATGGACTAAATACAAACACTAGTTTAACAAAAAAAAAAAAAGCCTCTGTTAATGGAAATTGCAAAGAAGGGTAATTTATATTTGAGTTTTACCTGAACATTGTAAAAATTCCCTTATTATTGCCTAATGCTTGCTGCTTCTTGCTATAAAAAGGAAGAGTCTGGAAACCATCCTTTGCCACATCCTTACAAGTTCTGTGGTCTCAGCTAGCTGATTAGCTGATAAGCTTTTTGAGCCCCATGGAGATTTTTTGTTTTTTTGTTTTTTGTTTGTTTGTTTTTTGGTTTTTTCGAGACAGGGTTTCTCTATGGTTTTTGGAGCCTGTCCTGGAACTAGCTCTTGTAGACCAGGCTGGTCTCGAACTCACAGAGATCCACCTGCCTCTGCCTCCCAAGTGCTGGGATTAAAGGCGTGCGCCACCACCGCCCGGCCATGGAGATTTTTGTAATTTTGTATTTTTTCTGGAATAAAGTTTGCTTCTGGTCTAATAGACTTCGGTGGTCTGTCCCCCATCTTTGCACGGGCCCAACTGTCAGGGTGCCTAAACAATGAGGAGAGATTTTGTTAGGAGGTAGGGCTGGGAGAGTCTGCCTCAAACCAGGCCAACAATGTTTAAATAGTTTTATTTTGAGACAGGGTCTCATGTAGTTCAGGCTAGTTCAGTGTGTGGGTAAGGATGACTTTGAACTTCTAATTCTCCTGCCTCTACCTAAGTGCTAAGATTTCAGACATATGCTACCATGTCCAGTTTATGTAGTGTAGAGGATTGAACCCAGGACTCTTGCATGCTAGACAAGGCCTCTACAGACTAAGCTTCATCCCTAACTCCACCAACCTTGCTTAAATTGTATGAGGAAGTGCCGTGGGGTGGGGAAGGGAGGTCTGCTAACTGGATTGAACTCAGATCATGCTTAGAAACTGACTGAGCTATCTCCCTTGCCTACATTTATTTCATAAATACTTTTTGCTGTCCCTGTTTCTTTTGAGACAACGCCTCTCTCTCTCTTTTTAAAGATTTATTTATTTTATGTTTATGAGAGCTCTATCTGCACATACAGCTGCATGCATGAGAACCATCTTGGGTGGTTGCTAGAAATTGAACAGCTAGTGCTCTTAACTGCTGAGCCGTCTCTCCAGCCTGAGACAGTACCTTTTAAAGCATAGGCTGGCCTTGAACTCTTCTCCTTCCTCCTGCCTCCATCCCCCAAGGGCTCCACCATATAAGATCTGGTTTTGTTTCTTTTTTTTTTTTTTTTTTTTTTTGGTTTTTCGAGACAGGGTTTCTCTGTGGTTTTGGAGCCTGTCCTGGAACTAGCTCTTGTAGACCAGGCTGGTCTCGAACTCACAGAGATCCGCCTGCCTCTGCCTCCCGAGTGCTGGGATTAAAGGCGTGCGCCACCACCGCCCGGCCTGGTTTTGTTTCTTAACCAGAAACAAAACCAGCATTTATTTATTTAAAATAATTTAAAGCATTTGTGAATGCATGCATGTATTTATACGTGGGTATCCATGGCACTCATGTGGAGGTCAGAGGACAACTTTCAAAACTCAGTTATCTCCTTCCACCCTATTGGCCTTGGGGATCGAACTCATGTTGTCAGGGTATGTATAAAGTAAAGTGCCTTTACCCACTGAGCATTCTTCCTCATAAGAAGCAGTTAGGGGCTGTAGAGATAGCTTAGAGGTTAAGGGCACTTGTTGCTCTTGCAGAGAACCCAGGTTCGATTCCTGGCCTCTACGGAGCTCACACTATCTCTGACTCTGGTTCCATGGGATCCGATGCGGTCTTCTGGCCTCCCAAGGAACAAATATATATATGCAGGCAAAACACTTATACACATAAAACAAAAATAAATCTAAAAATAGGAGCTACCAAGGGAAGGCCATGTGATCACACAGGAAGACAAACATCTACAACCAAAGGAGAAAAATCTCAGAAGAACCTGAGTATCCGTGCCTTGACCTTATTAGGATTTCAGTCTCCAACGCCGAGAGAAAATGCATTTCCATTATATTAAGCTACGCAGTCTGTGGTACTCAATGGTGGCCCTAGCAAACTAGAACGAGGGTGTTGTGCCTTTCAAACTAATGGACCGTGCTGCCCTATTCAGTTGACTAGACTCCCCATGGTCCGGTGTTAACTGGAAGCCCTGACTGGAACCCTTAAGGATTTTGGATCTGCTGGGATACATGCTGCCTTGGAGTGGGTCGCTGCAAAGGCTTGGTGACATGATGACCAGTCTTGGGACCCAGAACCTCACCCCTTTCCCTGCACAGGGAAGGAAGGTGACTGGCGGTGTGTGCCCTGTTGGGTGAAGGAATGAATGAAGGGCTGCTGTGCCTGAGGTATCCAGGGGTGAGAGGGAAGAGGCCATCTGTGGAGGGGAGAGAGGTGCCCGAGGAGGAGAGTCTCAGGACGCAGAGGACAGTTGCCTGTGGGACAGCAAGGACTAGAAACCAGCGGCTTTGAGAGGAGGAGCGGCCGGCGGGCGAGCGGGCGAGCCGGCGAGCGGGCTAGCGCTCGACGCGTCCTCTGGGCTCGGCCCTCAGGGCGCGCGCCCGTCCCAGCCGCACCCCGCCCCCTGCCCCCGGCCGGCTCGCTGGACCCCACGCGCTGCGTGACCGCGCACGCCCCCTTCGCCGGCCGGGACCCCGGGTGCGCGCGCTCGGCGCCCCCCCCCCCCCCCCGCGCCCGGCGGGCGCGCGCCGCCTCCCGCTCCCGCTCCAGCTGGCGGCGGCGGCCGGGATTGTTTTTGTTGTCGCTGAGGCCGGAAGAGCCTTGAGAGAGCCGGGTCCGGGTCCCCGGGCCGGGCGCCGCCGCCGCCCCCTGCCCAGCGCCCGCGTCTTCGCGGCGCCGCCTCAGCGCCATTATTCCCGAGAGCAAGCGTTACACGGCGGCGGCGGCGGCGGGGCCCGGAGCGGGAGGCGCCGGGGACCGGAGCGAGGCGGCCCCCGTCGCCGCCATGGAGGCGCTGGGACCCGGTGAGGAGCGCGCTCAGGCCGGGGCCGGGATCCGGGGCTCGGGAGGGCGGACGGAGCCGCGGACGGGACTGTCGCTGCCCCGCCGCCGCTTGCGGGGACCCGGATGCGGGTTTCCAGGCCCCGGGAAGGAAGGGACCCCATGCCCTCGTCCCCGGGGGGCGGGGACCGCGCCCCTGCTGAAGACACTGGGTCTCTTGTAGACCCCTCTGGAGGAGGTCTGAGGGAGGGAGCTCAGGAGCTGCCCCGAGTCGGCCGAGGGAGGGCGGACCGGACCCGACCTCAGAGCTGTTTGTGGTCGCCGTGAGGCCAGCCGGGGCCTCAAAAGGGACCGTGTGTCCGGTGCAGGCGGAGGCCTGGCCCAAACCTGGGAGGCCTCCTACCTTCGACCTAGGGTGTTCTTGGCGTGGGGCCAAATCCCTTTTTTTCCTCTCAGAGGACGAAGAGAGACCCCTTCACCCCGTCCCTGACAGCCAAAGCGGGAAATGTCCGTTCTTTTTCCACGGCCCTGAAGTTTGGTGTCTGTCAGTTTGTCAGTCCCAGAGTGCTGTGGACTACACCCTGATGACAGGGGAATTGTCAGCCAGGACTCTCCAACACCATTGAACTGGCTTAGGAGTGGTCGTGAGGATCCAGCGAGAAAGTGTTTTTGAAGCTGTGATTCCTTGAGGGTATGGGTGGCCCCTGGTTATCGCTCTTTCTGCCCCAATCCTAGGAAGCTTTTCAGACTCTCAGGAATGCTCTGCGGTTGCAGCCTGGTGCTCCTGTCACAAGCCCCAACAGGTTGCTAATGACTTGGCTAAGTAGGACAAGGTTTAGGGGCAGTGAGGAATTAATTTTCATATTCAACCCTTGTCTATATAGTGGACTTAGCTGTATGTTTTTTAAGTACATAGAAAATTAGATTTTTTTTTTGAATTTGGAAACTGCAGGTTTGTTTACTTGGAACATATTTGCATAACTGAGTAATTAAACCCTATCTTCATTTGCTGCTTGAAGTTGAAACGGAATTCAGGGGCCGGCATATTCAAATTTCATAGACCTTTTAAAAATAAATTGGCTTAGCTGGGCACGGTGGCATATGCTTATACTCCTAACGGTTGGGAGGTGGAGGAGGAAGATCAGGAGTTCAAGGACAGCCTCGGTTTGTTTGAGTGAGTTTGAGGTCAGCCTGGGCTACTTGAGACCCTGGCTAGAAACAGATCGGAGCCTGCTGTATTGTTGCATACTTATCATCTCAGCATTTGCAAGGCTGAGGAAAAAAGAATAGCAAGAGTTGGAAGGCAGCTTGGCCTATATAGACTCTGTCCAAAAGAAAATGCCGCATTGGTTAGTTATAATTATATATTTGATAAACCCCAACATAGTATGCTAAGCTACTTCAGATGTGTTCCCTCGATAAAAGCAGGCTTATGACCTTAGGACTACCAAAGTTCCACTCAAATCTAATATAGTAATTTCATACTTGTATTGCCCCACCCCCTGCCTCCATTTTCACACAACTTAATTCCATTGCATTTCAATTTCCTCTTCTTTAAAACAAGGCTAAGATGTGCTGTAAGACCGATGTGAGAATGAAATGAGCCGACTAATACTGATGTCCAACAAATGTTTCTTCTCTTCCCTCCCATGAGTAACTTACAACTGAAGCAACTGTTGCAGTTACTTACTGATACAGAGACTATGTAACAATGTGTACAAGCTGGGTGTCATGAAAAGAATCAACATGGTGAAGTAAGGAACTGCCCAGGACACCAGCTACCCACCCTCTGGTTTGATTTTAGTTTTTCCCCGTCTGAGGACTAGCAGTTTTCTTAGAACTGCTCAATTTGTAGGGAACAAATATTCATTAATCTTATTTAAAAGACACCGATGGTTAAGTGAAGATTTTACATAGATCTTCTCTGCTGAGTAATATGTTCCTGTCTGAGGTATAGACTCTTGTTTTGGTATCTGACTACCTTGGAAACCTAGTTAGTAACAAGTAATAACAGTTGCTTGTTGAACATGGAATCAGAACAAAGGGAGTGGATGGGTCTTGTGGGATGTTGCTTCCAGGCTGTTGTAGAACGGGAGAAGCACTTTTACTTCCATTAGAGCATGCCTAGGTCTAGTGTGTTGAATCTTTTGAGGGGTGGGGTTTCAAGATAGGGTTTCTCTGTGTGACAGCTCTGGCTGTCCTCGAACTCACTCTGTAGACCAGCTGTCCCTGAACTCACAGAGGTTCTCCTGTCTCTGCCTCCTGAGTGTTGGGATTAAAGGCGTGTGCCACCACCGCCCAGCTGTGTTGGATCTTCTGCACCTGAACAATCCCTGGTGGCCTCTTAGTCCTGCTTACTTCTCTGTCACTACCCGGGTTCATCTTCTGTCAGTAACTTAGAAAAGTAGATGACTTTTATCATTCATTTGGGTTATAGTGATTATAACCTTAACTTTTGCATGGTTCTTTTTTGTTTTTTTTAAGTTGTTTTGCTTTTTTTGTGGTTTTTGTAGTGCTTGGGATGGAGCCCAGGCCCCATGAATGATAGACACTGCCCTATCACTGAGCTGCTGTCCTGCAGCCCTTTGTAGTGCTTTATAATTTGTAAATACTTTTATATGGGCTGGGGAAATGACTGAGTGGTTAAGAGTACTGGCTGCTCTTCCAGAAGACCTGGGTTCAGTTCCCAGCACCCATATAGTGGCTTGAAACTGAAACTCTAGTTCTAGGAGACCTGAGGCCGCCTTCTAGCCTCCGTGGGCAGTGCATATATATGGTGCACAGATATATGTTGATGGAAGTTTCTGTCCCAGCCACTCCTGTGGCTGTTCAGTCCCAAATAAACACAGAGGCCTATATTAATTATAAATTGTTTGGCCTATTAGCTCTGGCTTATTATTAGTTAGCTATTACAATTTAAGTTAACCCATAATTCTTATCTATGTTTAGCCAAGTGACTTGATACCTTTTCTCAGTAAGGCATTCTCATCTTGCTTCCTCTGTGTCTGGCTTGTGACTGTGTCTCTGCCTTTCCTCTCCCAGAATTCTCCTCGTCTGGTCACCCCATTTCTTGCCTGGCTACTGGCCAATCAGTGTTTTATTAAACCTATATGAGTGACAGATCTTTATAGTATACAAAACATTATCCCACAGCAGACATACATGCAGGAAAAGCATCCACACACCTAAAAATAATTTTAAAAAAGAAAATACTTTAATAATTATGAGTTCATTTGAGCCAGACCAGATGACTTTTAACTGTAAACCTAGCACTTGGAAGGCTGAAGCAGAGGGATTGTTATGAGCCCAAAGCCTAGGCTACTGAGTAAGACCCTATCAAAACAAAAAACAAGAATGAAGAACCTTATAATCCAACCACCCAACCAACCAAAGCCTATTAGTTCATTTGGTCCTTTGGGAAGTAGACAAGGCAGGCATCTGTCCTCATTTTATAGATGAAAAGATGAGGATCAAAGAGTGTAAATGACTACATCAAGACTCAAAGCTCCATGGGGAGGTGAGGACCAGAGTGTGGGGTGTCTCTTCCCTACTCTAACACCCTCTTTCTTTGAGGATGATTTAACTCAGTATGTTTTGTTTTCAGAAAATGTAATTGTTTTGACTGTCAAAAAGGTGTAGGGTTGCCACCAATATAAAACCAGAATATCTGTAGGCATTATATCACCTTTATGCAGCTGTCATTATAATAGTTAACACTTGGGCTGGAGAGATGGCTCAGAGGTTAAGAGCATTGCCTGTTCTTCCAAAGGTCCTGAGTTCAATTCCCAGCAACCACATGGTGGCTCACAACCATCTGTAATGGGGTCTGGTGCCCTCTTCTGGCCTGCAGGTATACACACAAACAGAATATTGTGTATATATAATAAATAAATAAATATTAAAAAAGTAATAGTTAACACTTATTGGATGCATAGCTGTTACAAAGCGCTATGTTAAGCCTTTTATAGACATCATCTCCAGGAATCCTCACTACAGTATTGCGAGATAGATGTACATATTACCACATACCCCTGTTTTATAGAAGAGGAAGCTGAGATATAAAGTTAAGAGGTAGGCCCAACGCCATACAATTAGGAAGTGGTAAGACCAGAACCAAACCTAAACCCAAGTATTTTAGTTCCTGAGGCTTAGGCACTATGCTTTATTGTTTTACTAGTTTTCCTAATTCAAAGAAAGTGGTTTTTGGAATTAAATTTTTAGAGTAGCTCACATAACCTTTCTCTTGTCAAAAAAACAAAACAAACAAACCCCCCCCCAAAAAAAGAAAAGAAACCCCAACAAAACAAAACACAAAACAACCCAAAACCAGCGACATGGGGCTGGAAAGAGATGGCTCAGTGGTGAAGAACATTCCTTTAGAGGACCTGCGTTCAATCCCCGCACCCACATGGGAGCTAGCATTCGTCTCTAACGCTAGTTCCAAGAGGACCTGATGCCCTGTGCTGGAAACACACTCACACATATAAAATAAAATAAACCTCAAAAAAAGAAAAAGAAAGAAAAGGAGACATAAAACATTTTACTCTAATATTTTTGATGCTAAGGATCAGGCCAGGGGATCATCTTGTACTACCTGTAGGGGCATCCTGTACCAATGGGCCATACTCCCAACCTTCTGTTGAATCTCTGTTATTTCAGAACCTCTGCCTATCCCTTAGTATAGATAATGAAATAATCTGTGAAATCTGGGGTAGAAATGGGAGGCCTTGATCCAGATTCATAGGCCACTCATTTGATCAAAGTTTCAGCTACCAAATTCCTCTTATTAGATTGCTTCTAATTGTATGTTATGATGATTGCTTAAGTGTATCTTTTGCAAGGCTGACTTATCTATATGATTTAATTGGGTTGACTGGTAATTGCCTTATCACACTCAGAATAAATCTTTGTGCATCACAATAGTATTTTTCATATGCTATGTGCTTTTTCTTTTTTGAAAAACAATTGCCACATTTTGCATATTAGGGCTGAAGTTTCTGTTTTGTTTTTACCTGGAACTAATTATTTATCCATATTTATCGAATCTATACAACTTGCTGGGTGAAGAGTTAGGTATCGTGGGAACCATAAAATAGAACTCTAGTTCTTACAAGAATTTATGAGTCTACTATAGAAGATGAAATAATTTAACAACTTACTCCTTTTTAAAATTGTGTGTGTGTGTCTGCACGCATGCATGTGCGTGCACATGCATGCATGAATCCATCTGTTACTCTTTTCACCATGTGGTTATAGGGATCAAACTCAAGTTCGGGTGCCTTTACCTGCTGTGCCGTCTTACTGGTCCACAAGTGATTTCTTATACTTGAGCTAAGTCCTACCCAGTGCACAGGGTTTTGTGTATACAGGGGATATATCTTTCTTAGGAAGTTGTATCTGAGTTACATTTAGAAGTTTTGAATTTAGGAAGAAAATGAACAAAAATTGAATAATGTGAAGAAATGTTCAGTACTTTACCTATTATATTAGTGTATAGTGATTTATCAATACAAATTTCATGAAGATATTTGCTGTGGTGTCCTTAAGTGATGTTGGAACAGAGCAGGCAAATATTTCAAAGCTTTTCCTTTTTAGTGAATTGTGTTTGTTTTCAGTGAAATGTTACTTCAGTAAGAGAACTTGTAACTTTCCATTGTAACCACAACCTACTTTGCTCAGTGCCTATTCATAATGGAAAAGATACTTATTTTTTAGGCCAATGTCCACTTGATATTCTCGTTAGAGGGAGATTGGTTAGATAAGTATCTGCAGCCTGTGTCTACAAAATCCTTTCCCGATGAAGGTTAATAGATGTTCTGTTTTGAAATGGGGAATAGGAGTCAAAAGGGAGAAGGAAGACAGGCAGAGAGGAAGGGGAAAGGTGGTAAAATGAGTTGAATAAGTGATGAGTTACTTTGTTTATTCACTCCATAACTTTTAAGAGAATTAAATATGGTAATATTTTCTGTAGGGCTGGGGAGATGGCTTAGTGGGCGGTGCAAGCACAAGGACCTGAGTTTGGATTCCCAGCACCCACGTAAGAAGCACTCCGCAGAAGTTGAAGGGACAGTGCTGAAACAGGCAGAACTTTGGAACTCCTGTTGGCTGTCCAGTCAAGGTTAACCAACAAGCTTTAGGTTCAGTGAGCGATCTCATCTCAGAAAGTAAGGTGGAGAGAGCTGGAGAGATGGTTCTCTGGTTAAAAAAACTTGTTGCTATTGTAGAGGACCCAGCTTGGTTTTTCAGCACCCACATGGTGACTCACAACCATCTGTAACTCCAGTTCCAGAGGGTCTGACGCCCATCTCCGATGTCCATAGGCACCAGGCACTCATGTGGTAAATCATACATATATACAGGCAAAATACTTATACACATAAAAAATAAAATAAATATATCTTTAAAAAATAAGGTGGAGATTGATAGATGAGAATACCTGATGTTGACCTCTGGCCTTCATGCATGCACACATGGGCATGTAACATTTAACACATGCACATGCGGGTGTGTGCATGTATATATATTGTTATATAAATATTTATATGTATATATTAAAAAAAAATTTAAATGGGCTCTTCTGTGTGGCATATACGGGCCTCCAATTTGCAATGCTCCTGCTTTTTCCTCCTGAATACTGAGAACATAGGCATGTAGTTTTTTTAAAAAAAAAATTTAATTCCTTTTACATATCAACCACAGTTTCCCCTCCCTCCCCTCCTCCCCCTTTTCCCTCCTCTTCCCACGCATCCATACCTCAGAAAGGGTAAGGCCTCCCCATGGGGAGTCAGCAAAGCCTGGCACATTCAGTTGAGGCAGGACCAAGCCTTCCTGCCCCATATCAAGGCTGAACAATGCGGCCCACCATATGAAATGGGCTTCAGAAAGCCAGCCCATATAGGCATGTAATCTTGTGTGTTGTGATTGGAGAGCTTCTGAGTGAGTACTATTAGTATTTTGACCTGGATGAGTCCTGCTCATGGGTGTTGGTAGCACTCCTGGTTGTGCAGACTACAATGTCTCTAGATACCTGCCTAATGTTCAGGTCAAGAGTCACTATTTTAGACCACTGATTTTGAGGGCTGGGGCCCTGATATTGAGTACATAATGTAGATTAGGTACATAGTAAATGAATTGGGTTCTTTGGTTTTTGAGACAGGTGTAGCCCTAGATGTTCACACAACTTGCTCTATAGACCAGGCTGACCTTGAACTCAGAGATCCTCCTGCCTCTGTCTCCTGAATTTTGGGATTAAAGGCATCTGCCACTACCTTCTGGTTTTCAATCAAGTTCTTGTTTGTTTGTTTAAACATTTTTTTTTTGGTTTTTTGAGACAGGGTTTCTCTGTGTAATAGCCCTAGCTGTCCTGGAACTAGCTCTTGTAGACATTTTTTTTATACTTATTTATTTATTTATTATGTATACAGTGTTCTGTCTGTGTGTATGCCTGCAGGCCAGAAGAGGGCACCAGACCCCATTATGGATGGTTGTGAGCCACCATGTGGTTGCTGGGAATTGAACTCAGGACCTTTGGAAGAGCAGGCAATGCTCTTAACCACTGAGCCATCTCTCCAGCCCTCTTGTAGACATTTTTAATGATTTATTTATTCTTATTTTATGTGCATTGGTGTTTTGCCTGTATGTATGTCTGTGTGAAGGTGTCAGATCCCTTGGAACTGAAGTTACAAAGTGAGCTTCCATGTAGATGTTGGTAATTGAATCTGGGTCCTTTGGAAGAGCAGCCAGTGTTGTTAACTGCTGAGTCATCTCCAGTCCTTGTTTTGGTTTTAAATTTTTTTTTTTTTGAGAGGCCACTCTAGAGCCCAGGTATGACTGGTACTCACTCTGTAGCTCAGGCTAGCCTTGATGACAGTCTTTTAAGTGTTAGAATTACAGGTATGTATCCCACACCTGGCTAAATTGTCACAGTTCTAAGAATAGCAGATTATAGATTAGAAATTATATCTTAGTTGGTATTGTTTTGGTTTGATACTTTAAAAAAGTGACTTGATAAACTGCAGTTTAATCTCCTGCTGTTTGTATGGCCTATAACAATGTAGGGCTGTTTGTAGGGAGTTAATGGCTGTTCTACAACTACAAGGGCTCTTGATGGCCCTAGGGTTTAGAGATTATTTCTTTTGTTTATTTAAGTGGTAGTAGGGATTGAGCCTGAGCCTTGTACAAACTAACCAATACCATCACTGTGTTACATCTCTAGCTTTTTTTATTTTGTTTTGTTTAAACCCAGGATTAGGCAAGTGCTCTACCACTGAGATACATAATGCTTTTTGTTTTATTTATTTATTTCTTGAGACAGAGTCTCCCTGTGTAGTTCTGTCCTAGAGCTCACTACGTAGACCAGGCTGTCCTTGAACTCACAGAAATCCTTCTGCTTCTCTCTTCTAAGTGTCAGAATTAAAGGTTGCACCATCTCACCTAGCTCCTGACTTTATTTTTTATTAATATTATTTTTTTAAATTTTATTCATTTGTATAAGTGTCTTGCCTCTATGTATGTCTGTGCTCCATGTGCATGCCTGGTGCCCAAAGAGGGCAGAAGAGGGCATCAGACCACCTTGAACTAGAGTTACAGATGGTTGTGCACCACCATGTGAATTCTAGGAATCAAATTCAAGTCCTTTAAAAGAGCAGTCAGTGCTCTAAACTGCTAAACTATCTCTCTAGTTCCCTAATTATGTTAATGCATTCAGTGTGTGTGTGTGTGTGTGTGTGTGTGTGTGTGTGTGTGTAACACATCTTGCCAGTAGAGTCAGTTCCTTCTTTTGACTATATGGGTCCTGGGCATCAAAACTAGGTTGTCAGGCTTGGCAGCAGAGTTTTTATTTACTGAGCCATATCACCAGGACTGTTGTTAATTTTTTTGAGACAGGGTTCTGCCTTTAAGCTCTTAATTTTCCTCCCTTAGCATCTTGGGTGCTAGGATTACAGGTGTGTACCACCATGTGACCATGCCTGGCTACATGTTATTTTTAAATGTATATAATTTTGTAAACCTCTGTATGAGATCAATTAATTATAACTGTCTAACTTTCATGTCTCTTATATTAAAAATAATAACATGATCCTCCCTCCCTCTTTCTTCCTTTCTCTCTCTCTCTTTCTTTCTTTCTTTCTTTCCTTTCTGATACAGGGTTTCTCTGTAGCTTTTGGAGCCTGTCCTAGAACTTGCTCTGTAGACCAGGCTGGCCTCGAGCTCACAGAGATCTGCCTGAGGGCCCCCTCTACCTCCTGAGTGCTGGGATTAAAGCTGTGAACCACCACTGCCTGGCCAACATGGCTATTTCTAAGTACCTAGAAATCTAGATAAGTTTAGTATATTTAACACCTTGATTTAAAAAAAAATATGTGTGAGAGTATTTTTCCAGCAGGTTTGTACCACAAGTATGCCTGGTGCCCATGAAGGCCTGAAGAGGACATTGAATTCTCTGGAACTAGGGTTACAAACTGTTGTGAGTTGCGTGTGTGCTGGGAACTGAACCCAAGTGCTCTGAAAAAGCAACTGGTGCTCTTAACCTCTGACCCATCTCTCCATCCCCAGAGATCTCAGGTTTTTTTTTTTTTTTTTTGGTTTTTCGAGACAGGGTTTCTCTGTGGCTTTGGAGCCTGTCCTGGAACTAGCTCTGTAGACCAGGCTGGTCTCGAACTCACAGAGATCCGCCTGCCTCTGCCTCACGAGTGCTGAGATTAAAGGCGTGCGCCACCATCACCCGACCAGATCTCAGATTTTTGTATCAGAACATGTTCAGCAATTAATAAGATCTCAATAATTGTAACTGTCATTATGATGAGGAGAATATTCTCTTCATTGCCAAATAATGCAATATATGTCTTTCACTCTCTTTAGGACCTCCAGCCAGTCTTTTCCAGCCACCTCGGCGTCCTGGCCTTGGAACTGTTGGGAAGCCAATTCGACTGTTAGCCAATCATTTTCAGGTTCAGATCCCTAAAATAGATGTGTATCACTATGATGTGGATATTAAACCAGAAAAACGGCCTCGTAGAGTCAACAGGTAAGGATTAGAAAGAGTAGATGTCTGTATATCTAAGTACATACAATTCACAAAGTTTATCAGTCTCAGAAGTAGGCATTATTTTACCCTAGTAATAAGTGTATATGGGATCTTCTTTGGGTTTTGTGGCAACTCAGCTGTATATATTATTGCTCTATCAATAAATATATGTTATTTGATAAAGTGAATATGTCATTGGTCATCATCAATCCAAGTTCACAGAAGTTTATAACTAGAAATGAAGACATTAGTTAGTAGTATATGGGAACTAGAACTATCTGGAGATCCAGATTTTATCACTTCTTACATGAAAGTGTAATGATGTAAGAATTGTCTTAGAGTATTCATTAAAAAAGAAGAAGGCCCGGTGGTGGTGGCACACGCCTTTAATCCCAGCACTCGGGAGGCAGAGGCAGGCGGATCTTTATGAGTTCGAGGCCAGTATGGTCTACAAGAGCTAGTTCCAGGACAGGCACCAAAGCTACAGAGAGACCCTGTCTCGAAAACCCAAAAAAAAAAAAAAAAAGCGCACATACACTCACTTCCCTGTCTCCTGCTTCCATGTGGTCTTCTCTCAGTGCCTCCTATACTAAGATTCTTGCTTTGCTAACAGTGCTTCTCCTGCCAAGTAAGCTATTTGGTGATCCTTGGGGGGGGGGGTGTTTTGGTTTTGGTTTATCCTTTCTTTTTTATACTCCAATAATTTGGCTTTCTGGTACAGTTCAGTGTTGTGTAAGGTAGGGTATAACTGAGATCAATCATAATAGACCTGCTAATAATAGCTACTTTTTTTTTCTTTTTTCTTTTTTCTGCTTTTTCGAGACAGGGTTTCTCTGTGGTTTTGGAGCCTGTCCTGGAACTAGCTCTTGTAGACCAGGCAGGTCTCGAACTCACAGAAATCCGCCTGCCTCTGCCTCCCGAGTGCTGGGATTAAAGGCTTGCGCCACCACCGCCCGGCAATAATAGCTACTTTTAATCTGTCCAACAAACATATTCTGTATTAACTTGTTTGTTTGTTTGTTTTGAGATAGGGTCTCTTATAGCCCAGGCTTTGAATTCCTGATACTTTTGTCTCTACCTCCCAAGTACTGTAATTGCAAGCATGTACCCCACACTCAGTATTTGTTTGTTCTTTTGAGATGGGGTCTTAATATCTAGCCCAGACTAGCATTGATTTACAGTGTCCTTGAATTCAGATCTTCCAGCCTTAACCTTCTAAGTGAGGACATGTGTTTTAAATGTGTGTGTGTGTGTGTGTTTATCCATGAAGACCAGAAAAATATGTCATATTCCTATGATGCTAGAGGCACAGGCAGTTATTAGCTTCCTGACGTGTGTACTGGGAACCAAACCTTAACTACTCTTCACTGCTTAGTCACCTCTTTGGCCCCAGAATTTGCTAGACATGCTAAGTTTATGGTTATGATGTTTATTAGATGTATAGAATATGTGAAATTGGATTCAGGAGAGATGTGTATTAGAGATAGGCATTTGAGAGTCATGAGCATTGTTGGGTTAGAATACAGCTCACAGGGCTGGAGAGATGGCTCAGTGGTTAAGAGCATTGCCTGCTCTTCCAAAGGTCCTGAGTTCAATTCCCAGCAACCACATGGTGACTCACAACCATCTGTAATGAGGTCTGGTGCCCTCTTCTGGCCTGCAGACACACACAGACAGAACATTGTATACATAATAAATAAATAAATAAATATTTAAAAAAAAAAACAATACAGCTCACAAACATGGAGCTCATTAAGTTTGGTAAGATAGGGGCTAGAGAGATAGTCAAGAATGCCTTTTGCTTTTGGAGAGGACAGGAATTTGGTTCCCAGCAGCCACATCTGTAGTTCCAGTTCCAGACAATCCAGCACCTTCTTCTGGCCTCCTTAGGTATTTTACACACACACACACACACACACACACACACACACACACACATCTTTTTAAAGGTGGCAACACAAAGCACCCAACTTTCACTGACTTTAGCATTCACAACACTGCATACTCAGATATGTCTTTGTCTTATATATTTCCTTGCTGTTGCATTTGTTTTAGGAACTGCATAGAGTAAGTCATAGTATATGTAAGACTACTTAAGTAGAGCCAGGCACTGACTGACAGAAAATATCTCTGTCTAACAGAAACTAGACCTGCAATATTTTTAGAGTGAGAATATTTTATAGCATTCTTTGTCTATACTACCCAGAAACTTTTTGGAATAAAACAAAGTAGTATACAGAGTATTAAATCAATAACATTAGAAAAGGGGATTGATCCTACTCGCTTGAATACCATGCATCTTAGATATATTGATGCACACATTTCTGAGTTCTTTTCTTTTTTCGACAACCATTTCTTTTTTAAAAAAGAACTTATTTTTATTTCATGTACATCCATGTTTTGCCTACATGTGTGTCTATATGAAGTTGTTGGATCCCCTGAAACTGGAGATACAGACAGGTGTGAGCTGCGATGTGGGGCTGGGAATTGAACCTGAGTCCTCTGGAAGAGTAACCAGTGCTCTTAATCACTGAGCTATATCTTCAGCCCTCAAAAACCATTTCTTGATAAGAATTCTGATTTTGTAAGAAACATCATTTAATGGTTAAACATCCTTGCAAAACTTAGATGTCTGAAACTTATCATTCTTGTAAAGTGCTAGTTAATTTATTTGTGCATTTTTTCCTATTATGTGGGTCCTGAGACTGGCAGCAAGCACCTTTATCTGCTGAGCCATCTCATTGCTCCATCTTTTTTTTTTTTTTATTTTTTGAGACTGGGTCTCATGTAGTCTATGCTGGTCTCAAACGCAATATTTAGCCATTTGGACTCCTGAATCTCCTGCTTTCACCTTCCCAGTGTTGGGACTACAGATAAGTTAATTTTTTTCATTGTTTGAGTCAGCTTTGTGGCTTTGACTTTTTTCTAGTGGCCCCACACAGAGTTTGGATGAAAGCATGATGACAAGTTGACATTGCTTTCTGTTGATCACTTCTCAAAGCTAACTGCCACTGTCTCCATTACTGTTAAGGGAGGTGGTAGACACTATGGTACGACACTTCAAGATGCAGATATTTGGGGATCGGCAGCCTGGTTATGATGGCAAAAGAAACATGTACACAGCACATCCACTGCCAATTGGACGTGATAGGGTAAGTGTTAACAGCAAGGAACTCTGGGTTTTAGTACCTACTCCAGATGACCCAATACTCTCCTTTCTGGTCACTCTTCAGTTCTTTTATTTGTTTGGTTATTGATTGTGGGGAGGCATACGCAAGCCACAGTGCATGTGAGTTGGTTGTCTTCATCCTTCATGTCAGGCTTGTTTTCAAGTACCTTTTCTTACTGAGCCATTTGCCAACACCCTCCTCTCCTGCTCTCCCTTTTCTTACTATGGGGCTTGAACTCAGGGCTGTGCACCTGCTGAACTGTGCTCACAGCCTCCTTCACTTCAGTTCTCAGAGTTGTCTTTCATTGTGATGCTGACTGATTGCACTTCCCACAACGATTGCCTCTTAGCCAGCTGAAAATGAAAGATGAGAGGGGCACTGGGGCACACTGATTCTGTGATCTCTACAGATAGTCTGCATTTTCACACTATACCTAAATACAACAGTGGGATTTTTATTACTTCATTTATGAAAATGATACCACAATACTTTCCTTTTCTTTCTCTCTCTCTCTTCCTTTCCTTTTCTTTCTTTCCTTCCTTCCTTCTTTCTTTCTTTTCTTTTTTTATTTTTGGAGACAGGGTTTCTTTATGTATCTTTGGTCATCCTGGAACTCACTCTATAGCTGGTCTCAAACTTACAGAAATCTGCCTACTTCTGCCACCTGAATACTGGGATTAAAGACATGTGCCACAATGCCCGGCCACAGCATTTTCTTAAACATCTATTTTAATAGTAAAAACAGTGCCAAGTATGGTAGTACACATCTTTAATCCCAGCACTCAGGAGAGAAAGGCAGGTATAGATCCGTGAGTTCCAAGCCAGTGTGGTCTACCTAGAAAGATCCAGGTCAGCCAGGATACATAATGAGACCCTTAATTAAAAACAAACAAACCAAAAACAAAGAGGAAAAGGAAGTATTTTTTTTAATTATATGTTTTGTCGGGTGATGGAGGAAGGTCATTGGTTAAATAAAAAAAAACTGCTTGGCCCTCATTGGTTAGAAGATAGGTGGGAGGAGTAAACAGAACAGAATGCTGGGAGGAAGAGGAAGTGAGCTCAGACTCCACAGCTCTCCTCTCCGGAGCAGATGCCTCAGAGAGATGCCATGCCCAGCTCCCAGGCAGACGCACGCAATGAAGCTCCGACCCAGGATGGACATAGGCTAGAATCTTCCCGGTAAGACCGGTGCTCACAGATTATTAGAGATGGGTTGATCGGGATATCAGAATTAGCCAGTAAGGGCTAGAGCTAAAGGGCCAAGCAGTGTTTAAATGAATACAGTTTATGCGTTGTTATTTCGGGCATAAGCTAGCCAGGCAGCCGGGGTGCTGGGGACGCAGCCCCGCCACCCTTACTACTACAGTCAGGCAGTGGTGGCACATGCCTTTAATCCCAGCACTTGGGAGGTAGAGGCAGGTGGATCTCTGTGAGTTCGAGGCTAGTCTACAAAATGAGTTTCAGGAAAACCAGGGTTGTTACACAGAAAAACTCTGTTTCAAAAAACGCATGTATATATATAAAATATTTTTATTACATTTATGCACAAGATTGTGAGTGAGTTTGTGTACATGTGATGGCCACAAGGTCAGAAGAAGGATTTCCTGGAGGTAGAGTTATAGGGTATTGTAAACCCCTAGTATTCTAAAATTAGGGGTACTGAAATGGCTTGCTGGTTATAATCCAAGCCGGACAACTTGGATTCAATTCCTGGGACCATAGGGTGGAAGGAGAGAACTGACTTCCACAGGTTGTCCTCTGACCTCCACACCTGTGCCATACGACATACTAACCCCTAAACGTACATGCATATACACATAAATGAATGAGTAAATAAATAGATATAACAAAACATTTTTTTAAGTTATTTATTTATTATATATACAATATTCTTCCTGCAAGCCAGAAGAGGGCACCAGACCTCATTACAGATGGTTGTGAGCCACCATGTGGTTGCTGGGAATTGAACTCAGGACCTTTGGAAGAGCAGGCAATGCTCTTAACCACTGAGCCATCTCTCCAGCCCCCATAACAAAACATTTTTATTAAGCAGTTAAGAGCATTTGCTGCTATTTCTAAGAACTAAGGTTGGTTTCCAGGACTTACATCAGGCAGCACAGATGCCTGTAATTCAGCTCCAGAAAGTCTATCTTTCTTTTTTGGCTTCCATAGGAACCTGCATTTATATTAATAAATAGACAAAGAAATAAATACTCTAAAAATTGACATTTAAAAGTTTTTTTTTTTGGGGGGTTTTTCGAGACAGGGTTTCTCTGTGGTTTTGGAGCCTGTCCTGGAACTAGCTCTTGTAGACCAGGCTGGTCTCGAACTCACAGAGATCCGCCTGCCTCTGCCTCCCAAGTGCTGGGATTAAAGGCGTGCGCCACCACCGCCCGGCTTTTAAAAGTATTTTTAAATTTAAAAAGGTAGGGTTGAAGAGATGACTTGGTAGTTAAGAACACTTGCTGCTCTTGTGAGAACCAGGTTCAATTCCAAGCAACTATGTGGTGGCTCATAATCATCTATAATTCCAGTTCCAGGAAACCCAGAACCTTCTTCCTAGTTCTTTGGGCACCAGGCATGCGTGTGCTACATACATGTACACAGGAAAACACCCATACACATAAACTAAAACTCTAAAAGGTAGCTCAGTAGTGTGGCACTTGCCTCGCATACATGAGACTCTGAACTTAACTCTTAGAACCACATTTTTTATTGATTTAAATTAAATTTATAGTAATATGTGAACACATGTACCTTCTTTCTACATTTATTAAGACACTTCACAAGAATTGAGACTTCTTGGCTTTCCTGCATGTTTGTACCTTCCAATTCCATTTTCCTTGTTAGCCCCACGTTATTATGTGTCACTTTAGATACTTTATGTGTTACCTTTTTACATATATGTTTATGTACATGCTTATTTTTTGCATATCATGGTGTGATTTTTTTCATTAAACAGTATGTCGAGGTATTGTTTCCACTTATATACAGTTATATACACCTTATTCTTTTTTTCTAGTTCAAGACAAATGTTTTTGAGCTATGTCTCAGCCTGGCTTGAATTCGTGGTCCTCCTGCATCAGCCTCCTGAGTTCTGGGATTATAGGCATGCATAACTACTCCACTTTTAAGAGCATTCACATTGTCGTGCATCTGTCACCACCGTCTATTCTAGAATCCTTTTGTTATCTAAAACAGAAACCTTCTACCCACTACACAGTAGTTCCATAGTCCTCACTGCCGATTGCTCTGGTAACCACTCCTCTACCTTTTGTTTCTGTAAGCATGACTGTTCTGAGTACCTCATGTAAGTAGAATCATCAATATTTGTCCTTCTATCTCAGGTTTATTTCACTTAGAATAATGTTTGCAAGGTTTATCCGCACTGTAGTATCTCCCTTATTGGTTTATTTTAAATTTTCATGTATTTATTTATTTGCGTGTGTATATGCATGCATGTATGGTAAACCGATTCCAGATGTGGCGTGCATGTGGTGGCTAGAGGACAACTTGTAGGGTTGGTTCTCTCCTTTTACCATATGGGGCCCCAGAATCAAACTATGTCATTAATGTTGGTGGTAACAGCATTGACCTACTATCATTGTATAATATTTTCTATTAAATTATTCCTTTATTTATGAACAGTTACTTTGTTTCCAATGGTCTAAAATTATAAAAAGTATTAAGTATCCATTATGCATATGCCACACGGGATATTCCTGGGGTCTTTCCTACAACCTTTATAAACCTGTTTGTCTGTATGTATTTTTCCCTAGGTTGACATGGAGGTTACCCTCCCAGGTGAGGGTAAAGACCAAACTTTCAAAGTGTCTGTGCAATGGGTGTCAGTTGTGAGCCTTCAGTTGCTCTTAGAAGCTTTAGCTGGGCACCTGAATGAAGTCCCGGATGACTCAGTACAAGCACTTGACGTTATTACAAGGCATCTTCCCTCTATGAGGTTAGTACCCTATTTTGGATCCCTTCCCACAAATGTCAGTCTTTTTGACAGATTGTATTTAGCCATGCAAAGTTTTCGACATAAGTCACAGTTCAAACTTGATTTCAATTCACAAACTGACCTCAAAATGCTTTGTAGGGGGGCTGGAGAGATGGCTCAGTGGTTAAGAGCACTGCCTGCTCTTCCAAAGGTCCTGAGTTCAATTCCCAGTAACCACATGGTGGCTCACAACCATCTGTAATGAGATCTGGCACCCTCTTCTGGCCTTCAGGCATACACACAGACAAAATATTGTATAAATAAATATTTAAAAAAAAAAAGAAAAAAAATGCTTTGTAGGAAGTATTCAAACCCTTCTCTCTTCAGGTACACTCCGGTGGGCCGTTCTTTTTTCTCACCCCCTGAAGGTTATTACCACCCTCTGGGAGGTGGCAGAGAGGTCTGGTTCGGCTTTCACCAGTCTGTGAGACCTGCCATGTGGAATATGATGCTCAACATTGATGGTGAGTTGAAACTCTGTCTGTTAATTTTGGTTTCCGTTTGATTGGTTTGAACCCTTTTCTTTGCCTTGATACTAAGCATCCTTTCTCTGTTTGTAGTATCTGCAACTGCTTTTTACCGGGCTCAGCCTATCATTGAGTTCATGTGTGAGGTTTTAGACATTCAGAACATCAATGAACAGACAAAACCTCTAACAGACTCTCAGCGTGTCAAGTTTACCAAAGAAATTAGAGGTAGGTATTCCTGTTAATGTCATCTTGGAGTGAGTGCAACACAGTGCAGGTGTCTGGGCTTGTGAGCCAGATAGACCTGGCTTCCCTTGCTAGCCAAATAATCTTAGCAGTGGGACCACAGAGTCTCAGTATACACTTAGACTTGAAAATAAACACCAGAACATGTTGATGCTTATAAAAACTTGTTGAATGAACTAATAAATTCATTTATGTAACTAGGCTTGGCATTGCATGCATGTGATCTCAACAGTTAGGAGGCTGTGGCAGAAAGATCACAACTTCAAGACTCATCTGAACTATGTAGAGCTATCTGTCTCAAAAACAAAAATGGGTTGAGTATCATGAATCTTTTTGCCTTTATATGATGAATCCGTCTCCACATTCTTGTAGCTTTTGTCCTGTGTTAAGTTATTGACTTCTTGTGTGTATGTGGAGAAAGCTTTGTTCTCTGCAGTAGGTAAGGAGAGTATGAGAATTCTTTCCAAGTAATGCACTCCTTGACTTTTTGTTTGTGTTTTTGAAACAGAATCTTACTTTGTAGTTCTGGCTGTCCTGGAACTCACTATATAGACCAAATTGGCCTCTGTCTCACAGACATCTGCCTACCTTTGCCTCCTGAGTGCTGAGATTAAAGATGTGTCCCACCATGCCTGGCCACTCCTTGACTTTTTGAAGACAACATTTGAATTTGTTTTTTTTTTTTTTTTTGGTTTTTTCAAGACAGGGTTTCTCTGTGGTTTTGGAGCCTGTCATGGAACTAGCTCTTGTAGACCAGGCTGGTCTCGAACTCACAGAGATCCGCCTGCCTCTGCCTTCCGAGTGCTGGGATTAAAGGTGTGCGCCACCACTGCCCGGCCTTGAATTTGGTTTTGTTACTATGATTTTAATTAAAACTGGTACTCTTATCTTTTTTTTAAAAACTGGGACTAAACAAGCATGGGATCAAACTTGGACCCTCTGAATGTGGCTGACAATTGGGGCAGACTGAGAAGCCAATGATAATGGCACTGGGATTTGTCTCTACTGCATGTATTGGCTTTTTGGGATCCTAGTCTATTTGGATGCATACCTTCCTAAGCTTGGGTGGAGTGGGGAAGGCCTTGGACTTCCCACAGGGCAGGGTACCCTGCCCTCTCTTAGGACTGGAGGGGAAGGGAGAAAGCGAGTGGGGGAGCAGGAGGGAAGTGGGAAGAGGGGAGGAAGTGGAAATTTTGATTGGTATATTTATAAAGTAATTAAAAAAAGAAAAAAATACTCTTCAGGTCTCAAAGTTGAGGTGACTCACTGTGGACAGATGAAACGAAAATACCGAGTTTGCAATGTGACAAGACGGCCAGCCAGTCATCAAACGTATGTCAATCACATCTAAAATAGTATAGTAGTCACGAAGGATGGTTTATATCTGTAATCTCAGTACTTAGGAGACTGAGACAGGAGGATTGAGTTTGAGGCCAACTTGAGCTACCCCAGGAGACCCTTTAGGTCTCAAAACCTGATAAATCACAAAATGAAAGAAAACAACAAAAGAAACCCAAGTTAACAATGGAATATGGTAGCAATTTGATACCTGAGGAAGTTACAGAGTGTCACTGGCAAAGACCGTCCATACACAGTATGTGGTTTTGGGATCACAAGAATCTTCACTTACCACAAAAGCTCTAAAAAAAATATTTAGATATTTGTTGAATAGTTGTTCATCTTACCTTTTGAATCAAGTATATTAAACATAGATCAACTTGTATTTAGGAATACAAGAAGATGTTAATTCATACAATGCCTGCTGTATAGGTGTGAGCACCTGACTTTGGCTCCCCATTGCTGACATAAAAGTAAGGCCTGGAGGTGAACATCTGTCATCTTAGTGCCAGTGGAGAGTGACGGGGAGATCTCCAGAACTTGCTGGTCAGCCAGCCTAGCCAGAAGGTGCACTTGAGGTTCAGTGAGAGACTCTGTCTCACAAAAGTCAGTTGATAGTGATAGAAGATACCTGATGTTGACTCCTGGCATCCGTGTTCACACACATGTACACATGCACACTCAAGTGTATACATATACTACATACAAACAAAACTAAGAATTTTGAAAAGAATGCAATTGTCATTATTATAATCCTCAGTACTTGATAACTCTGCTAGGGTCTAGCTATCATACAGGCTGCTGTGGGAAGACAGATACTTCTTTGCAGATTTGTGTAGTTGTCTTTCCTTTCCTTTACAGTGCGTTGTTACTCCCAGCTATTCCTGTGTGTCCTGACTCCAGTAGCGTGTTCCTTTCCACTTACTCGATCTTACTTTTCTAACCAAACAACTTGTAGTCTATTGAGTGCTGTGCCTAAGTGAGAATGGATTTAGAAATGCCTATAAAATTACTTTATGACAGATTCATTGTTCTAATCAGGATCACTAAATTTGTGTCTGACATGAAAAAGATATTGGCTCTTGCTAAGTAAATATTGTTAAATACTTTATAGGTTTATTTATTAATTATGTATACGGCATCCGCCTGCATGTATCCCTGAAGGCTAGAAGTGGGCACCAGATCTTATTACAGATGGTTGTGAGCCACCATGTGGTTGCTGGGAATTGAACTCAGGACCTCTGGAAGAACAGTCAGTGCTCTTAACTCCTGAGCCATCTCTCAGTCCCAATATTGTTAAACCTTAATTATTTTGGTTACTTAGGAGTTCTTTTTTTGCTGTTATAACTTTGTGTCCATGGTGTTCTCCCCTCCCCTGTGTGTGTGAGTGTGCATGTGTGCACATGTGTGTGTGTGTGCTTGCACACATCAGTGTGCTGCAATATATGTGTGGAGGTTAGAGGAAAATTTTTAAGAGTTGATTCTGTCTTTCTACTGTACGATCCCAGGGTTGAACTCAGGCTATTTGGCTTGCAAAGTGAGAGTTTAACCTCCTAATCCATCTCCCCAATCTGTGTATTTAGTCTTGTCACCTCCAAATCACATAATTTGCCCTGTCTTAGGAATCAGAAAACTTGGGAAATCTTAAAATGTGGCCCTAATAACTATACTCTGTTTATTTAGGAAAAAAAAAAAAACATTGTCTTAAGCAAATAACAGTTTGTAGATGACCCCAAGTGCTTATTTAAATTTACGTGTTTCCGTAGCCAGCAAGATGGGCTGTAGAGAGAACTCAGTGGTTAGAACTTGTTATTCTTGCAGAAGATATAGGTACAGTTCCAAGCATGGTAGCTCACAGCTGTCCCTAACTTCAGTTCCAAGGGATCAGTGGCCCTCTACTGACCTCTGAGGCACCAGTCATGTACATGGTGATCATAATTACATCCAGTCTGGCCTCAGACTTGAAGTGGTTCTCCTGCCTCAACCCTCTTGAGTACTAGGGTTTCAGGTGTGACTCACTGTGCCTGATCTTTTGTGAAAAAAATATTAATTTTTGTATTAATTTTTTTGGAATTGTTCTAATACAATACTAAAATGACTTGAATGAAAGTAATAAGACGTTTTCTGGTGGTGGTGGTGCTGGGGATTGAAATAAAGGCTTTATGCATTCTGCACATATACCTAATCACTGTGCTGTATCCCTAGCCCTAACCCTTGTTCATTTTTTCACAATTTATTTACTTATATGCATGTGTGTACATGCTCTCTGTCTTTCTCCTGATTCTCCTGCCTCATTTCCGAAATGCTAGAATTATAAGCATGCATCACCATGCCTATTTATGTGGTTTATGTAGTGCTGGATATCGGACACAGGGCTTTGTTCTTGCTAGATAAACTTTCTACCCACTGAGCCACATCTTCTGCCCTTGACCTTTGCTTCTTTCTTTCTTCTTTTCTCTCTCTCTTTCTTCCTGAGACAAGGTTTCCCAGTGGCTATGGAGCCAGTCCTGGAGCTCAGTCTGTAGCCCAGGCTGGCCTTGAATGCACAGAGATCTGCCTGCCACTGCCTCTGGAGTACTAGGATTAAAGGTGTGCGCCACCACTGCCCAGCCTGACCTTTGTTTCTTAAGTGACTAATCAACATAGAAAATGTTAGTAGTTTTTACTTGTTAAAAAAAAAAGTAAAAGCTCTACATAAACTTTCTTTTCTCTAGCTTTCCTTTGCAGCTAGAAAATGGTCAAGCTATGGAATGCACAGTAGCTCAGTATTTTAAGCAGAAGTATAGTCTGCAACTGAAATACCCCCATCTTCCATGCCTTCAAGTGGGACAAGAGCAAAAGCATACATACTTGCCACTTGAGGTAAGTCGACTGGAATTTCCTTTTGCCAATATCTTGAATTAATTTTTCTTTTACAAAGAAGTGTTCATTCCTTTAATTCCACCATTGGGGAGGCAGAGGCAGGTGGATCTCTGTAAGTATGGGGCCAGCCTGGTCTACAAAGTGAGGTCCAGGACAGCCAGGGCTACATAGAGAAATCATGTCTTGAAAGCAAACACATAGTCTTCAAAACTAGTGGTAGAATTTAGTCTTTTTGAAGTATTTTGTGCATAGAACGTTCTAATATAACTCCCCTTTTCCCCTGGAATAGACAAAGACTTCATGTATAGAAGCCCATTTCAACAAAACCTAGCTTCTCTTTGTCTCCCTGCAGGTCTGTAATATAGTGGCAGGACAGAGATGTATAAAGAAGCTCACAGACAATCAGACATCCACAATGATCAAAGCCACAGCGAGATCTGCTCCTGACAGACAGGAAGAAATCAGTAGACTGGTCAGTAAGACATGGCCTTCAGATTAGCCTGCTGTGAGATAAAAAGCAAAAGAATAAACAATCCCAAGGGAACATAGTTCCTGTTTGGTTTTATATGCAGGCTTTCACATTCCTTAGGTGAAGAGCAATAGCATGGTGGGTGGACCTGACCCATACCTGAAGGAATTTGGGATTGTTGTCCACAATGAGATGACGGAGCTCACAGGCAGGGTGCTTCCAGCTCCAATGCTGCAGTATGGAGGCCGGGTAAGCTGCTTCCACACCACTCCAATTTATTTAAAAAAAAAAAAAAAAAGCCGCACCTTTGAATTTACCTGCAGTTGTGCTCATTATTACCTTCTGTCTTCTGACTGTACCAAATAAAGTTTTGTTTGTTCCCTCTTCACCACAAAAATGGTCTTAGATTGTAATATCTTTTCTCTTTTCTTTTGTTTCTTTTTTGTTTTTTTTTTAAAGAATAAAACAGTAGCCACACCCAACCAGGGTGTCTGGGACATGCGAGGAAAGCAGTTTTATGCTGGCATTGAAATTAAAGTTTGGGCAGTGGCTTGTTTTGCGCCTCAGAAACAATGTAGGGAAGATTTACTAAAGTGAGTATCCCATTTTCAGCTCAGTAATGCTCCTTCTAGATACAAAATACCATCTTTATGTGAATGTGCTGGGCACACTGGCACTGACCCTTGATGCCCATAATAATGCCGTCTGACTCTGCAGAAGAGACCCTGTGCTCTATTGTAAATCTGAGGGTTCTCTGAGAATCCGATTCAGCTTCCACATACTTAGAATAGGAATTTGTGAGTAATAAGGCTGAAGCAATGCTATTTAGGGAAATTCTTCAGTTCTTAGGAGTTTCCATTGGTGTACATCTTTTAGGTAAAAATAAAAATTAGTCTGTTTCTGGCAATTATAACTTAGTAGTGAGCTTGTTTACTGTAGGAAAGCTGTCTAAGAGCATCATGTCACCTCTTAGAGATACAGCTTCTGTATAAGGAAGTCCAAGAGAAGGGGAAAGAAAAATCAAGAAAGCAGAACTGGGGTGGAAAGAAAAAAGGAATCCTACAAGATGTTGGCAAATACACAAAATCAGTTATGTTGAGGCTAGGTGTGGTGGCACACACCTTTAATCCCAGCACTGGGGAGGCAGAGGCAGGTTGGAACTCTGTCAGGTTAGGGCCAACCTGATCTACACAGCAAATTTCAGGCCAGCTAGGGCTAAATCACAAGACCCTGATTTATACACAGATTGAATTAACGTCTTAAGTTCAAATTTTAAAACTTTAAAATGAAAAAAAAATAATGTTGATTTCTTGAACCAAACCTGTTACAAATTGTTTCTAATTCTAACCTTATAGACTCGAGGATGGCATATTCATGTGTTCCCAGCTGAATACAAGCTCACCTCCTCTTCCTTTACTAGCCTTATCAAATTATGTTACCTAAAACTATGTCTTTTTTTTCAGTTTTGAACCACCTACTTGATTTTTAAAAAATATTTTGAATATAAATGCTATTCTAGTCCCTGAATCTCAATTGAACCAAATTTTTTTAGAAATTCAAAATGGAGTTTGGAGATAAAGCTTAATGATAGAATGCTTGCTTAGCAGATTTAAGGCCCTGGGTTTAATTTCCCATACCACAAGAAATAGTAATAAAAATTCAGATTGATGATTTGGTAGTTTTCTAATGCGGATTGTTCTGTTACAATTGCAGTGGCACAACTGCCAGTCTAACTACTGAAAGAGCTTTTGTTTGCTCGCTTACGTATGAAAATGAAAGCACTGTGCCACTGGTTCTGTCTTAACAGGAGTTTCACTGACCAGCTTCGTAAAATCTCCAAGGATGCAGGGATGCCCATCCAGGGTCAGCCATGTTTCTGCAAGTATGCACAAGGTGCAGACAGTGTGGAGCCCATGTTTAAACACCTGAAAATGACATATGTGGGCCTGCAGCTAATAGTGGTTATCTTGCCTGGAAAGACACCAGTATATGGTATGAACCTTTTTAATGTTGAATGAGGGATGATTTCAAGTCCTAGGTTTGACAGGATAAGCTAGGTGATGCCTCAGTCCCAACTCTCCATTCTCTGTGGTCTAAGCCGCAGAGACTGCCAGAGTGTGTGGAGGGGACAGACAGCTCAGTTCTAGAGTGCTTTGCTTGGGGGAAAATGGCACGACAGCACTTTTTATTTTCCTCCCCTTTGCCCCCCCCCCCCCCCATTTCTGCCTTTTCTCTCTTTCTTGTTGAGACAAGATCTCGTGTCAGTCAGGCTGGTCTTGAACTCATTCTGTGGTAGAGAATGACCTTGAACTTTGAATTCTACCTCCACCTCCCAATACTCGGATTCTGGGAATGAACCTCTACACATGATTTATGTGGTGCTGGGGATTGAACCCAGGGCTTCGTACATGGTAGGGAAGTACTCTATCCAGGCCAAGATTTATTACCTGTTCTTCTTTTGTGTCTATTCACGATAGACAGTGGTCTCTGCTCCATATAGCCACATCATCCTCACTCCAAGACCCAACTTGGTAGAGCAGACACTGTTTACAAGGTTGCTGCCACCATGCTTTTCTCTCTACATCTGCATACAACCAGCCATGATGCCTCACCCAGCCTATTGGGACAAGGTGACTAGACATAGGGGCAGGAAATGCTGTGTAGGCCTTCCATAGTGCAGGGAACTTGAAGAAGTAGAATATTCTAGTGAAAAGCAGAATATCAGAGTGGGGAGAATAGACATGTGGGGGAGGCTGCTGCTTCTAGAATAGGATGTACTTAATTTATATCTGCTGTTAGAAGAGGGACTCAGGTTCTTCTCTTGGTTACCCCCAAGTAAAGACTGCAGACCAGCCCTTAAGCTTTTGTCAAACACCTCCAACCCTCTATCTTCTTCTTTTGTAACCTCCTATTTATTGCTTATGTTTTGAAAAAAAAGAAAGTAAAATTCAAAAGGCTGGTGTGTGCTCTGAGGAGGGAGGAGCCAGGAGATTAATTCCTTTACCAGACTAGTTCTGAGGAGAAGAAACCTCAAGGGACCAAGCAAGTGGTGGCAGGCAGCACCTGAAGAATAAAGGAAGTGGGCTGGCTTCCAGAGCTGCAGCAAGTCAGGAAAGAGGAGGCTGCTCAGTGGGTGTAGCAGATAAAAGTGCTGGCACTCTGTGTGGTGAAAGTTAATGTTTAAGACTTTTTCCTTTACTCACATTAGGTGATTAAGCATTTTAAAGGGAACTAATTTGTTGACTTATTTTATAGCGGAGGTGAAACGAGTTGGAGATACCCTTTTAGGTATGGCCACACAATGTGTCCAGGTCAAAAATGTTGTCAAGACCTCGCCCCAAACCCTTTCCAACCTTTGCCTGAAGATAAATGCAAAGCTTGGAGGAATTAACAATGTACTTGTACCTCATCAAAGGTAAGGTCATGATTTGGTTTTCATACTTTTATTAAAACCTAAATTACATGGTTTATGATAATGGGCACAGCTTTCAGCCGGATATGGTGGTACATACCATTACTTGTGGGTAAAATAAGGCAGGAGAATTCCAAGTCAGTCTAGGCCACATATAGCAAGACCTTGTCTCAAAAAAAGAAAAAAAAGGAAAGATAGAAAAGGAAAACCAAGGATTTATCTGGGTGTGGTAGTTCATATTTTAATCCCAGCACTCAGGAGTCTGAAGCAGGCCAATGGCTATGAGTGTCAGGCCACCTGATCTACATAGTGAGCTCCAGGCCAACCAAAGCTATACAGTGAGCCCCTGTCTCAAAAACAAAACAAAACTAAGGTCTGAGATGTAGCTGAATGGTAGAGCACTTGCCTAGTGTATGCAGGGCCCTGGGTTCCATTCCTACCAGTGAATAGAAACCAATAAACCAGACATGTCAAATATGCAACTCAATGACTTTCTTATATAGTGTGTGTATATAAGAGCACCAGAGCGACTTAGAACATTTCCAGATTCTACCAGGCTTTCTCTCCCCACTCCAAATAGGTAACTCCCAGAGCCAAAGCTGTAGCTTATTGGCATAATGCCTGTTATGTGAAACCCTGAGTTACCTACAAACATATAACTCCAAAAGAAACTGCTCTTCTGACCTGTTGGTATAGATTGGTTTTATCTGTTGATCTATTGGTTTTATCTTCCTATAAATGGAATCACTGGTGCAGTGTGCTCTATTTTGTCTATCTGCCTTCCTTCCTTCCTTCCTTCCTTCCTTCTTTCCTTCTTTCCTTCTTTCTTCCTCTGTCTGTCCTGGAACTCATTCTGTACACCAGGCTGGCCTCAAACTCATAAAGATCTGCTCCTGGCAGCACCAATCTACTTCAAAGATGATGGGCATCAAAGAAACTCTACATGGAGTTTACTTTCTTTGTGGCAAAAGCCACTGGGCAAGGAAGTGCTCTTGCCTCAATTACTGATGGTATGCTGTCCAAATTGGACAAGCAGGACACAAAAAACAATGACTACAAAACCTTGTCAAGACAAGGTGGGACAGTCCTTCAAGAATCCTGCTTCAGTAGGATCAAAAACCCACTGCGATTGTTCTTGAATTCTCAGTATTCCTCATTGTCCGCTATGTTCAGCTAGTCCGGATTTATCCCATGTTTTTTCAGACCTAGGCCAGCTGGCCTTGGTGAGTTCCCAATAGAACATCCCCATTGTCTTAGTGTGTGTGTGCACCCCTCGTGGTCCTGAGTTCCTTGCTCGTGCTCCGTCTCTTTCTGCTCCTGATTTGGACCTTGAGATTTCTGTCCGGTGCTCCCATGTGGGTCTCTGTCTCTGTCTCCCGTACTGGCTGGTGGGAGCCTAGGCAGTTTGGATGCTCACCTTATGAGACCTGGATAGAGGTGGGCAGTCCTTGGGCTTCCCACAGGTCAGGGAACCCTGATTGCTCTTTGAGCAGATGAGGGAGGGGGACTTGATCGGGGGAGGGGGAGGGAAATGGGAAGCAGTTGCAGGGACGAGGCAGAAATCCTTAATAAATAAATAAATTTAAAAAAAAATCCTGCTTCACAGAAAAGTCTGTAGGATATGCTAGGTCTGTAGTCCAAAGATGGGTGCTTCACCATTGCAGAGGAACTTTGGGTGACTGTCCGGCAGCCAGCTTTGTCATTTCTTGCATTTTTTGGAAGTCACTTGCTCATACTTCTTGCTTACTCAGTTAATATTATTTCCTTCTTGGATCTCTGAGGGAGTTAAAGACTAGATAGTTATAGTTTTCCTTATTCACCAGATACAGAGAAGAAACTCAATGAAGGGGTGTAAAGTATATAAGGCTTAGAGATATGGAAAGATAGTTTTGGATGGTAATGCAAGTTATGATAGAAAATAAATTAGGTACAAGACTTTGAACTCACCAAGATAGGATAGATGATGGAGCATTTTCTCTGAATTTGTCAAATGCAAATGATAATGATGTACTTATTGCCTGTATATATTATAATTGTACTTATTGTATATAGTTTTTCTCTTTCTTTCTTTCTTTCTTTTATTTTCTTTTCTTTTCTGGTTTTTCAAGACAGGGTTTTGTTGTAGTTTTGGAGCCTGTCCTGGAACTAGTTCTTTTTTTTTTTTTTGTTTTGTTTTGTTTTGTTTTTCGAGACAGGGTTTCTCTGTGGTTTTGGAGCCTGTCCTGGAACTAGTTCTTGTAGACCAAGCTGGCCTTGAACTCACAGAGATTTGCCTGCCCCTGCTCCTGAGTGCTGGGATTAAGGGTGTGTGCCACCACCACCTGGCTATACAGCCTTCTTGTTTATTTTAGACAAAAAAAGGGGAGATGTAGTGATATTTTGTTTGTATTTTAACAAATAATGCTTACCTGAAGATCAGAATGCAGAGCTAAGCCACTAGAGGCCAGGGAATAGTGGTACACACCTTTAATCTCAGGATTCAGGAGACAAAGGCAGAGGGATCTCTGTTAGTTCAAGGTCACCCTGGGCTACACAAGATTGAATCTGTATAAAGAGAAACAGAACTCACACAAAGGTGATCCCAGCATTTGGGATCTCATGCCTTTAATCCCAGCACTAGGGAGATGGAGACCGTAGTGATATGGTTGGGCAGCGAGAGGGATATAAGGTGGGAGGAGACAGAAGCTCAGTGTAGTCTGAGGTTTGGTGGAGACAGATGCAGTCTGAAGCAGTCTGAGGAGCAGTGCAGTCTGAAGACAGGATTGCCCCTTTGCTCTGAGCATTGGTAGAGATAAAAGTTCTCTCTAGTGGCTGACCCCACTGCTTCTCTGATCCTTCAGTTTTCACGCCCTAATATCTGACTCCAGGTTTTATTTATTAAGACCAATTAGAATTCATTCTTCAGAGATCCACCTACCTCTGCCTCCTGAGTGCTGAATTAAAGGGGAGCACCACTCTGCCTGTCTTATCTCCCTTTTTTTTCCTTCTTTTTTTTTTTTTTTTTTTGGTTTTTCGAGACAGGGTTTCTCTGTGGCTTTGGAGCCTGTCCTGGAACTAGCTCTGTAGACCAGGCTGGTCTCGAACTCACAGAGATCCGCCTGCCTCTGCCTCCCGAGTGCTGGGATTAAAGGCGTGCGCCACCACCGCCCGGCTTATCTCCCTTTTCTTAACATTGTAGTTGTACAATTCACTCACGTTGTTGCATTTAATTATTTTTCATTGCTATGGATTATTTTCTTATGTAGATAAAATCATATAATTCTGTCTACTCTTTGGTGGACAGTATATATTCATTGTATAGTTCTACAATATTATGTATTATAGAGGTAAGCATTTGTTTCTCTTGTGTAAGATGCTGTGTGGAATTTCTGGATTATAGAAAATAGAGTTGTGGAGAATACACAAATTTAGCCATAATAGATACAGTCAGGTATTTTTCCAACCTGTCTGCAACAATTGATATTTCTACTGAGAGGTTTAGTCATTCCATATCTTTATCACTACTTGGCAGTACTTTTAATTTTAGCCATTTTTATTATAAGAAATATTATCTTACTATTATTTCAATTTGCTTTCCCCTGATTAGTGATGCTACACATGTTTGGGTTTCGATTTAATTTGGAGGCATCTTTTGTAAGGAGCTAGTTCAATCGTTTTATCTATCTATCTGTCTCTGTTATGGGTCATTGTTGTTGGTTGGTTTTTTTTGTTTTGTTTTTTTTGAGACAGGGTTTCTCTGTGTAGCAGCCCTTGCCTTCCTGAGACTAGCTCTGTAAACCAGGCTGGCCTCAAACTCAACAGCGATCTACCTGCCTCTTATATATTTTTTAAATTATGTACACATGTGTGCAGGAGGTGTTATCACGTGCACATGAAGGCACCAGTACAAGCGCTCACAGAGGCTAGTCAGATCCCCTTGGAGCTGCAGTTATAGGTGCTGTAAGCTGCCCAGTGTGGATGCTAGGAACTAACTCTCAGATGCTCTGGAAGAGCCATCTACCATCTTGACCCCTGACCATGCCATCTCTTCAGCCTCTGGAACACCTTAGGCTTGGAATTTGATCTTGTATATTTTTTTAAAGATTTATTTATTATGTACACAGTGTTCAGCCTCCATGTATGCTTGCAGGCCAGAAGAGGGCACCAGATCTCATTATAGATGGTTGTGAGACACCATGTGGGCTGTTGGGAATTGAACTCAGGACCTCTGGAAAAGCAGTCAGTGCTCTTAACCTCCAGCCCCTCTTGTATATTCTTTATTCTCTTATGTCTTTTAAAAAATTTATTTATTTTTTGAGACAAAGTGTTTTTATGTAGACCAGACTGGCCCGCTTAGGCCAAAATGTACCTGCTTAGGTAAGTCTTAGGAACTGCTGGTATGTGCCATCATGTCTGGATCATGTTCTTCCTTTTGAGATTGGGTTTCATGTATCTGAAGCTGGCCTTGAACTGGACTCTGCAGAGCTGAAGATGATCTTCCAACTACCTGCCCTCCTGCTTCCACCCACTGACATGAGTATTGACTTATAGATACCACCATACCTGGATTTTTTTTGTCTAGCTTTTACCAGAAAAGCACTCATATTTTTCTTTGATTCCACAGATAGAGGAATCAGTGACATGGAATGAATTTGTGTTTTTAACAGATATTTACCAAGTGCCAAGTATGGGCTAAGAAATGTTCTAGGTACTAGTAATGACCAAGATTTAATAAAATTCCTATTCTTGTAGGGTTTATATTTGAATGGGTCTGTGTGTGCAAATAAAATAAATAAGTAAAATATAGGATATATAATTGATAAATATGTATGAAATAAAACAGAAAAAATAAATTTGATTCTCTTCTTTAAATTTCACAACTTAAAGAGATTTGGGTTTTGCAAAGTTCGTGTTCTTTCCTAACGGGCATAGGTCCTCTTTTCTAAGATGGCAATTATCCTGGTGATATATTTTTCTAGACTCAAAGATTTGTACCCATATGTTTTGAGTGGCACTGTTTTCTTAAATCTGGACAGGCCTTCAGTGTTCCAGCAGCCTGTCATCTTCCTGGGAGCAGATGTCACTCATCCACCTGCTGGGGATGGGAAGAAGCCTTCTATTGCAGCCGTGGTGGGCAGCATGGACGGCCACCCTAGCCGATACTGTGCCACAGTGCGGGTGCAGACGTCTCGGCAGGAGATTGCCCAGGAGCTGCTCTACAGTCAGGAGGTTGTGCAGGACCTGACGAGCATGGCTCGGGAGCTGCTGATTCAATTCTACAAGTCCACACGTTTCAAGCCCACTCGCATCATCTACTACCGTGGAGGGGTGTCGGAGGGACAGATGAAACAGGTGCTCCCATCAGCCCCGTGCCCTCCTCCCAGCACTCTTCAGCTTGCCGCTGAACCTCCGTCAAACAAAATTCCCCTTCTGTCTCCTAGGTAGCTTGGCCGGAGCTAATAGCAATTCGAAAGGCATGTATAAGCTTGGAGGAAGACTATCGACCAGGAATAACCTACATTGTGGTGCAAAAGAGACATCACACACGCCTCTTCTGTGCAGATAAAACAGAAAGGGTAAGAAGTCGTGCTGAGAGCTTCCTCCTCTGACTGTGGCAGTGACTGTGGTTTTGAGTAGATGTAGACAGTGAATTTCTCTGAAACCGGCTGTGTCTAATGGTAATTTAGTGACTAAATTGAACTTAGATGACAAGTTCTGGATAACAGGAGTTTTAAGAATGAATGCGCCTTGCCAGGCAGTAGTGGATTTGGCAGTGGGTCTTTATGAGTTTGGGGCCAGCCTGGTTGATGAGAGAGTTCCAGAGAAGCCAGGGCTATACAAAGAGACCCTGTCTCAAAAAAACAAAACTGAAATTTAACCTAATTTCAAGACTCTATTACAGACACGCCCAGAGATATGTCTCCTAGGTGATTGTAGACCTTGTCAGTTGGCAGTCAGTACTGACCAACCATGAGGGCTGTTTGTGTAGTGCTGAGGCGTGGTGGCTAGAAGAGACAGGTCAGGTACATTACGGTGTAATACTTCAAAATGGGGTGCTGTGTGTGTTTACTGGACATCAAACCAAGGGCTTCACACGTGTTTTTTGCTGCTTTTTACTGCTAAAGCATGAGTGATAGTTCTAGGGTGTAAAGCAGAATGTCCTTGGTGATTTTATATCACTGGGATAGTGACTTGGAATGACTATGGTGTCATACTTATTAACCACACACAAGAGACTTCACTTCTCTAAGCCACATGAAAACTTATAATTTGACTTAGGATTTTTTCATTCATATATGTGTGTGTGTGTGTGTGTGTGTGTATTTATTCATTTGTGTGTCTGTGTGAGTGTTTGAGCATGTGAATATGTATAGGCCAGAAGAGGGCGTCAGTGTTCCCCTCTGTTTGTCTCTGCTAATTCCTGTGAAGCAAGCAGGGTCTTTCCCTGAACCTGGGACTCGTATTTTCTTGGCTAGAAGCTGGTGAACCCCAGTGTTCTTCCTGTCTCTGGTACCCTTCAGATCCAGTGTTACAGGCATTTACTGGGACACTTATTTTGTGATGTAGGTGCTGTTATCCAAACTTCAGTCCTCAGGATTGTGAAGCGTGTGCTCTTACTCACTGAGCCACCTCTCCAGCTCCAGGATTTGGAATTGCCAGTTTGATGTTACTGTGAAATCAGTCTGCATTCTGTAGTAACTGCTCTTTAAGTTTTGAATTTGGTAATGTCCTGGAAGGCAATGGGCAGTACAGTATTGTCTCACAATGCAGCCACCCTCACATGAGTAAATAGTCGATAGTCTACAGTGTGCTATACTGCTTAACTGTGATATTCAGAAGGGTATATGGAGTAGGTGAATTTTTGTTTATGAAAATTTTAATTTATAATGATCTTATTGGGTATAATCCTTTCATAAACTGAAGACCATTCTTACCTATAAAAGGTGATGATGAGGGGCTGGAGAGATGGCTCAGGGCTCATCTGTAATGAGATCTGGTGCCCTCTTCTGGCCTGCAGGCATACATACAGACAGAACACTCTAGTATACATAATGAATAAATAAATCTTTAAAAAAAAATGTCATGGTGAACAGCATCTAGGCACGGTGGTTACATAGCCGCAGTTCCAGCATTTGGGAGGATGGAGTGGAAGATCATGAGTTGCAGGCTAGTCTGAGTTATCCTGTCTCAAAGGAAAAAGCAAGTGCCGGAGATGTAGCCAGCATGCCCTGTGTTCAGCTTCTGATACATAGCCTCAGTGAAATAGCATGTCCAAGGCCTGCTTAGGCCACGTGAGTTGCTGTCTAAAGAACAAAACACAACAAATAAAAATAGAATCTATTTCATGAAGTATGGTGAAGAGTAAATTAATAAATGAGTGTTAATTTGGGGTATAATTCCCAGCACTTGATAAAGACATTTTCCATTGATTTTATTTATGATTTGATATTTATGTTTAAAGTGGGTAAGCTATAAGAATATTATGTTGGATGACCTCTTTTTTACTGTTTCTCATGACATTATTTCATCTTGTCCAGGCATAGCAAGGACCAGATCTTTTCTGTTGCTTAATCATGTAAGCTTGCTGGCTCCCCCAATTATTTTCTAGGACAAAAACTGTCTCTTTTCCAAGGATGAGATGTTTATTATTGTTTTGTCAATTGCAAGAGATCCAAGTTCATTTCCCTACAGTCCCCAGATCTACTAGTCAGTTTATATTAAATTTTTGTTCACTAATTGTTCTACTCTGACTCAGTAGTAGTTCTTAGATTTTGATAATACAGATTATCTGAATGCTTGCCTAAAATTGAAGCAGAAAATACCCTGTCACCCATCTTTTATTGTCATGGTTTCTTCTTTGCTCTGCTGTAAACTTGCTATCCATGCAGTTCACTGTGGAGTGGAGAGGAGTCCAGGATCTGGATGATCTGCCACCACTCCCAGTGCTGGGAATGGAGCTCAGGGCCTCAAATGTGGTGGGAAGCAGTTTACCGCTGAGCTTTCTCCAGACCCTGAGCTATCTTTCTTTCCTACAGCTCTCTTCTTTACCATCACTCAGGATTGAAGGTTCCAATTCTTTATTTAGTTTACTTTATACTCTGACCACTATCTCCAGTTCTCCGAACATGCCTCTTGCCTGCCTCCAACTCCAAAATATATCTACTTGCTTATTGATTTCCTTTGCTTCACTCTCAGGCTGATGAGAGTTGCTGGCTGAACAAATCACTTATTTTGTCGTGAACCGTGTTATAAACATATGAGAGCAAACCTTTAAACCTTAAATGCTGTGATTTTTTTTTATTGTTTTGTTTCCCATAAGTGTTGGTTCCTATCCTTGGTGTCTTAATGCTAACAAAGACCTATTTTCTGCACAGACAGTACTGTGGTGATCACAACTGCCTTCTGAATCCTACCTTCTGTTTACTGGGAAGATGGGACCTGGAAGGCATGGATTTTCTTGGTTACCTATCCTCTCTTTTCCAATGTGCTTTTTTGTCTCTTTCCTCATTCTTTTCAAAAATTTAAATTGTATTTAATTAATGAGTTAATTTAGAGAGTGTGTGTGTATGTGTGAGAGAGAGGACAACTTATATCTAGGTTCCAGAGATGGAATGTAGGTCATTAGACACTGAACCAACTCACAGACCCTCATCTTTCTAAACATCTCTTAATTCTTCTCTCTCTCTCTCTCTCTCTCTCTCTCTCTCTCTCGTACGCGCGCTCTTCTACCTTTGCTTTTGTAAGTTTTCTTTTAGAAGAATAATCACCTGACTTGCTGTGAAGTATACCCTCACCTCAAACTTCATACTTTGATTTTCAGGAAATAGGAAATTCAAGAGAGAACTGAAGTGTTGCCTCTGTACCTTCATATCCTACCAAGTCAGAGTCCCACACTGACCTCTTAGCCACACTTGTGACAACACAGCCTTCTCTGGCCTTAACAATATGACTTCTTACTCACCTCTGTGAGTAAAGTCAGATCATCTTTACTTAAGAAAATTAGATTTATTTATCTAATGTGTATGAATGTTTTGGTTCATGTATATATGTATGTATGTATATATGTGCACCACATTCCTGCTTGGTGCTCACAGAGGTCAGAAGAGGGGGGCAGATTTCTGAGAACTGGATTTACAGATGGGTGTGGGGAGTGTGGTTGCTGGGAACCAAACCCAGGTCTCCTGAAAGAGCAAGTGTTCTTTAACTACTGAGCCATCTCTCCAGACCCTCAGTGACCCTTTTCCTGTTCTTAATAACTCTGTCTTCAGCGTCATCCACTTTTCTAGGCTCACTTATTAACTTCAAATCCATATTTCTGCCCTAGATTGTGCTGTCAGACTCTTGATTTGTACTTTTAATTATCTACCAGACGTGTTCACTCAGATACTCTGTGCATGGTGCACCAGTCTCCACAGACGAGGCTGTGTGGTGGTGATAACAAGAACCCATCCTTGTGGCTGGCAAAGATTCATTTCTTGTTCATACTACACAGTCACTGTGGCCCTACTGCAGCTGCAACCCTGTTGTCCTCCCTTTGGAACCCAGGCTGACAGAATCCATCTGGAACCTTGCCAGTCACAAGACAAGCTGTATGCTGGCTCTTAAAGCTTCTGCCCTGAAGTGCCACATTTTATCATCAAAGCAATTCACATGGCCACTCCTGTGATAGCTGGGTGGAACTGTATAATCTTCCTCCAGGGAGGGGCACAGAAGTATTTGGCACCAGTAATACAGTCTACCATAGGCATGTCAGACAAAACACGTCCAAACTTCCCACTTACTGTTTAATCCCCATCCAGAACCTCCCTGAGTTCTCCTTAGATTCTGTTACTTGGCATCACTGTGTTTTATGTTCGCCAAGCAGGAAAGTTCAGAATCATTTTTAAATTCTTCTCCTGCCTTATTGTCCTTGCCATGTCCAGTTTCTTCAATGGTTCCCTGTGTTCTACCCCCAAATTTCTCTTACCTCAAGTACATGTATTTCCATGACCCTAGGCAGAACTGGTCTGTTGTGCAAGACTCTCCAGCAGTCTCTTCATTGCCTTTGCTCTTTCATCCTGCAGCCAAGGGTTGCTTTCTAAAACACATCACTTCTCAGAAGTCTTCATGTGCTTTCCATTGCTTACAAAACACCTTCCTCTGCACCTTCATGCTCTCCCAGGGGAGCCTGAACAGCATATTCATGTCTGTCTTCTTACGTCCCCATGTCCTACTGTGTTCTCCTTTCTGGAATGAGCACATTCAGCCCACTCCTTTTTGTTGTTTATGTTAAGGTATACTACAGATACAGTAAAATTCAACCTTTTTAGAATGTAGTTGTACTTGATGGTTGAAACAAATGTATATAATTCTGTTTATACCAAACCTTTTTTTAAATGTTGTTGAACATTGAACCTAGGGCCTCACACATATAAGTAAATGCTCTGTCACTCAGCCATATCCCCTATCCCCGTTTTACCTTTTATTTTGAGGCAGAGTATAGCACAATTCTAATTAGTCTCAATAAATAAAACCTGAAGCCAGATATTAGGGGGTGAAGGCTGAAGGATCAGAGAAGCAGTGGGGTCAGCCACTAGAAACCTTTTTACCTCTACCAGTGCACAGTCCAAAGGGGCGATCCCATTCTCAGACTTCATCCTCAGACTGCATCTGTCTCCACCAAACCTCAGACTGCATCTGAGTTCCTGTCTCCTCCTTCCTTATATTCTTCTCTCCGCCCAGCCATAACACTCCTGTTTCCACTTCCCTAGTGCTAGAATTAAAGGCATGGGACCCAAAGTGCTGGGATCACCTTTGTGTGAGCTCTGTTTCTCTTTAGACAGATTCAATCTCACATAGCCCAGGGTGGCTTTGAGCTAATAGAGATTCTTCTGCCTCTGTTTCCCTAGTCCTGGGATTAAAGGTGTGCACCACCACGGCCTGGCCTCTAGTACCTTAGTTCTGCACTCTGATCTTCAGGCAAGCTTTATTTGTTAAAACACAAACTAAATATCACCACAGCAGGGTCTCACTAATTTGCCTAGGTTGATCTTGAAGTCACTCTGTAGCCTGGGCAAGCCTTAAATTGGAGATTCTCCTGCTTCCATCTCTTGAGTGGCCAGACTTAGAGGTCTGTGTCACCAGAAACAACTTTTTTTTTTTTTTTTTTTTGGTTTTTTGAGACAGGTTTTCTCTGTGGCTTTGGAGCCTGTCCTGGAACTAGCTCTGTAGACCAAGCTGGTCTCGAACTCAGATCAGCCTGTCTCTGCCTCCCAAGTGCTGGGATTAAAGGCATGCGCCACCATCGCCCGGCCAGAAAAAACTTTTATACTCAACCTTTTCCTCTAACTTTTGGCAACACTGACAGGTATTTCCAGCTTATAATTTTTCCTTTTCTAGAAACATGTATTAATAGAAACATGTAGCTTTTGATTTTGGCTTCTCTTATTTAGAATAATGTATTAAAGTATCACCCTTGTTGCTATGTGTATTAGTAACATTTCTTTTTTATTGCTGAGTTCAGATGTGATAATATGGATGTGCTACAGTTTACTCATATGTTTCTGGTCTCAGGGGTGCTCACAGTGTTTTCAGTCTTTATCCCATCATATTTATTCATTTAGAAACAAAGTTTTGCTTTGTACTTAAGATGGCCTCAAACTTGAACCCTTCCTGCCTAAGCCTCCTGAGTGCTGAAAGTCCTGGCGTGTGCCACCATACCAGGTTTTGCCTTCCTTTTCAACGCCTACTTACCTTTTAAGACTTAGTATAATTATTCCATCCCTGCCAGCCTTCCTAGTGCCTTCCAGTGACCTGCATCACATTGCACTAAAATACTTGGGTTGTGGAAGGCAGTTTATTCTTTCTGCCTCTGGCTCTTAGACTCAACATTTGCTGTGAAGCCTAACTTGGGTGCTCAAGCAATACTTACTGAGTTCAGTGTCTGGTTTCCATTTCCCTAGCCTCATACATGTAGCTTTAGGCTTTCATCTGTAGAACTCTAGAGTTGGTTTTTGGTTTTTGTTGTTGTTGTTTGGTTGGTTTGGTTTTTCAAGACAGAGTTTCTTTGTGTAGCCCTGATTGTCCTGGAACTCACTATGTAGACCAGGCTGGCCTCACTCAGAGATCTGCCTGCCTCTGCCTCCTCCCAAGTGCTGGGATTAAAGGCGTGCGCTACCACCACCTGGTATCTTTAGAGACTTTTTAAAAAAGAGTGTCTGTGGTAAAATAAGATTGGAAATGCCATCCATTCTATTGTCATCTTAAAGATTATACTTAATTAAATAGTGATTTTTGAGAAATTACATATTAGAAAAGTGTGTATGTAGACTTTGAACCCACAGTCTCACACATAGCAGGCAAGTGCTATACTATTGACCTATACTTCTCCCTCTTTAAAAAAAAACCCTTATAAACTGATTTAATGCAGTATTCCTCAAATTTGACAGGAAACACTTACGCACACCTTATAAACTAATACTCCTAAATGACATACTTTCAGAAAAGATGCTAGACCATTCTATCCTAAATATACATGTCTGCAACACTGTTTAAACTATAAATTAGGAATTGTAAGAGATTAATAATAATAAAAGTTATGTGAACCAGACGTGGTGTCTCAAACCTGTAATCTCAGCACTTGAAGACTTAGATGACAGGACTGTAAGCTGGAGACTAGCCTGGCCTACAAACTAAGTACATAACAGATCTTGTCTCAAAAACACAGAGATAACAAAAGTTATGTGAACATTGTCACTCTCAGACTACCTCCATGTCTCATTGCGCTATGATAATATTTTGGACCTTGATTGACCACAAGTAACTGAAGCCGTAACTTGAGATAAGTAGGAGATACTGTGACTCAGTTATACTTTCTCTGGTTTGGGTAGATACCTAAGCTTAATATGAATTTGAAAGAAGAATTGTCCATACTCCAAGTTTTTATATTCATTGTTACGTGATCAGTAGCTGGAAGGGATGGTTGTTAGAAAGGAGTCAAATATACCCTGTGGGAATGAATGTCTCTGTGCTAATTAAACTTTCTCATATTAAATTCTACTGAACAACAGAAGACACAGACTGAATAACAAGATTTAATTTTTTTTCTGTTCAGTGCATTTGTGGAGTGCCCCCCCCCCTTTGCCTTTCAACAAATTTGATTTCAGTGTTTTTGTTGTGGAAGAACCTTAGACTTTTATATCTACAAAGGGTCATCTCCAGATATTATAGATGGCTAGATTGAAGCACAAAGATGTTCAGTTCTGTTCACGGTGTGTGGCTGTGAGGACTGGCCTGGATCTGCTGTCTTCTCAGTCTCCATCTCATGCGGGCTTCCGGAAATTCTTTGGGGGAGCTTCTGTGACTCCATCAGAGCATGAGTTTTGCTGAGCCTGGTGAACCAGTTCAAAGATTTTCATCTTAGCTTTTACTGAAAGCTGTGTGTGGCAGGGCCATTGATTTTCTCTCAAATGAGGAATGAAAGTTGTTTCTTCCGGGGAAGTTTATCTACCTCAGATTTTTTCTTTGTTGCAGTGCTGGGACTTGAACCCAGGGTCAATGAACTCATGTTCCTGCTAAGCAAGTACTTAACAACTCAGCTACATTCCCATTCCTTAAATGCTGTTCTCCTTTCTCTGCCTACAGAGTGTCATCTATAAATATGTAGCAATATTGCTGTATAAAACTATAGATAGAGCCAGGTGGTGGTGGCGCACTCCTTTAATCCCAGCACTCGGGAATTCGAGGCCAGCCTGGTCTACAAGAGCTAGTTCCAGGACAGGCTCCAAAGCTACAGAGAAACCCTGTCTCAAAAAAAAAAAAAAAAAAAAAAAAAAAACCATAGATAAAGTCATTATTTGGATTCCCCAAAAGAAGTTGTGGACTCATGCTTGAGAAAGTGCTTTAGAATGGGGCTGGGCTAAGGAAAAGTTACAGTGGAATCCAACTTGGTTATTTTTGAGCTAGGGTCTCAGTATAGCCCAAGCTGACCTTGCTGACCTTGAACTTAAAACAATCCTCCAACCTCAACTTCCCAAATGCTGAGGTTACAGGTATGAATCACAATGTCTGGCTTAACATCTTGAATTAACCTAGTTTTGAGACTTCAAGTAAGAGCAATTTACTAATTTGTTACCAATTAATGCATAAAAGGAAAAAACTGGCCTTAAACTAGCTTGTTACTCAGATGATTAATTGTATTTTTAAAAATTACGTATCTTTTTAACAGGTGGGGAAAAGTGGCAATGTCCCAGCAGGCACTACAGTGGATAGTACCATCACACATCCATCGGAGTTTGACTTTTACCTCTGTAGTCATGCAGGAATTCAGGTAATTTGGAAGCTGACCTGATAGGGAGATATTTGCCAGTTCAACAGCCAGCTTGAGGAGACTTGTCATTAGACACTATGCTTGGCTGTGTTAACTGCTCTGCTCCAGAGATCTACTTGTAGGTGTGTGAGGCAGAGATATTGTTGAGCTTAATAATTAGATCTCAGTTCCTCTTTTCTCCTAACTAGCCAAGTCCTAACACTCTCCCTTCAGGGAACCAGCCGTCCTTCACATTACCAGGTCTTGTGGGATGACAACTGCTTCACTGCAGATGAACTTCAGCTGCTGACTTACCAGCTCTGTCACACCTATGTGAGGTGCACGCGCTCAGTCTCCATTCCTGCCCCTGCATATTATGCGCGGCTGGTAGCATTTCGGGCAAGGTATCATTTGGTGGATAAAGATCATGACAGGCAAGTTCATCAGTAAAACTCTCTTCCTGTTGTGGAAGCATGTTCTAAAAAACAAGCTATGCAGAAAGCTCTTGAAGATTTATATGTCCTTTTAAGATTTAACCTACAAGGAACAATCAAAACTGTACAAGACTTTGAGAGCTTTTCATGTGACTTCTGGTCCAAGAAGAGCTCAGGCTTGTTTAAACTTGTGTTTCTAACAGAGTCTCCTTAGGAGCTGCCTGTGGTTTTCACACAGAACTAACTGCATTTCAGTTCTGCTGAGGTCCCAGGCAGCCTCCAAAGGTGGCCAGCATAGCACCCTGGTTCCAGTCAGAGTAGTCACAGCCTGTGGACTCCAATTCATGCATGAGGGAGTCCCACATAGTTCATTTTGCTTCCAGTACAATCCAGAAATGACCAGAGTATGCCAGAGCTTATGGGAAAACAGAAGGGGTGAGTATCCTCATTCCCAGATAGAGATCTCAAAGGACTCAGACATTTGGCCTGTTACTGAGCTACCAATAAATGGCTAAAGGAGCTCTTTGCATTAATTTTCTTTCCCAAATGACAGTCTGTGAAGTATAGCAGTTTCTGGGCTCTTCCCCATCCAGTTGCTAAATAGTAGACATTCCATTGCAAGTCTATTCTATAAGGGATTGAAAATACACTATTACAGAAAACACCCAGCTGTGTCTTTGTACTTTGCATTCACCAATATGCATACATTTATTTAAAACATTTATTTGGTACTGTGTGCCAGTACTGTGCTAGGTACTAGAAAATACCAAGATTAGTAAGCCTTGTTTCTTGCCTGCAGGTATTTTATGTTTCAATACGAAGATCTACAGGTGAATAGAAAACTGACAACTGGTCTAACAGTATAGATAGCTTCAGTGGGAGATGAGAGGAAAGGCTGGTAGGGATTTTAGAGCTGGGTGAGCAGGGCTTACCTGTACAAAGGAAAGGCTTTTCCGGGCAGAGAGGACGTGAACATAAAGGGAATAGAACAAGTGGCATTTTGTGCAAGAGTAAGTTTTCTTGACTGGAGCATATTGGAAGGGAACAGCAGGCACAGGACAGAAAACTGTGTTAGAATAAGATTGTCCTTGTTAAATGTAAAATGCTGTTCCTGGGATAGAATAGTGCGGGCGGGGGAGGAAAGGATGAAATCAAAGGTGATTAGATAATAATCATCATTTAAAGAGAGGTCAGAGGCCGAGGTGTGACTCAGTGATGAGTGTTGTGCTTAGTATACATGAAGCCCTAGATTGAATCCTCAGCACTGAGAAAGGGATGGTTTGCCAAACTCCTATGTTACATAATACCCCGAAGATGAATGTCTAAAGTTGTGAACACTCTGATAGGCATAGACTCATTAATTTAGGAATCTAGTATTAGCAAATAAAAACAAAGTTAAGCCAGGCATGGAGGTGCATGCCTTGGAGAATCTCTATGAGTTTGAGGACAGTGGAGCCTTCATTGTAAGATCCTGTCTCAGAAGAGAAAGAAGAAGGAGGAAGAGGGGGAGGAGAAGAATGCTCTTTTCTTGGAGATTTTATTGCAGTGGAGAAAAAAAATACCCAATAGTACCTAGTAATGTCCCAATTGACAATTTCATGTTGGTTGTGTCTAATACTATAAAAGGAAACCACAACTGTCTATAAAAATATTCTAGGTGACCCTGACCTGAACTTGGGAGTCAGGGAAGACTCTAAGAGGGAAATGACTTGTAATTGAGGCCTGAAGGATGAGTAGGAACGAAGTAGACAGAAGGGACAATAGAAGTCCTTATGTAGGTGCTATTAAACACTTGGTTTTTGTGAACATCGTTTTATTTAATTATTGCAACCATCCATTAAATAAGTCTTACTATTTGAACAAGCATGTCTAAGAAAACATAAATCGTTTGAGTAGCCCAGCCTGAGCTCAAGATGTTCTTGAACCCAGTACTATGTGTGCTACCTGAAACACTGAAGTTGAATGCTGTCTTCTCTTAACACCTGGTTTTTGTTTTGTTCTCATTATAGTGCTGAAGGCAGTCACGTGTCAGGACAGAGCAATGGCCGGGACCCTCAGGCTTTGGCTAAGGCTGTGCAGATCCACCACGATACCCAGCACACTATGTATTTTGCCTGAGAGTCTTGGAAAAGAACTCAACCAATTTGGCATCCCACGCATCCTCAAATGTTTCAGATGCCTACTGCCTCTAGATAGTGCCACGTTGATTTCAGGTGGTCCCCTACCAGCAGCTCGGAACAGTTAGTTGCACTGAATCTGTACTTTGCAGCCCTGTCTGATGCATCAACAAAATTGAGCCATTTTTTTAAAGAAAAAAAAAAAGAAATAGAAACTCATAGATTATGCTTTCTGATGCACTGGACAAAAATTTTACCTCAGCGTGCAAAGGCTGATCAGCCTTGACTTTCTAAAGGACTTGTTTTCAAAGGAGGGTCTCTGTGGGATATTTTGCTAGCTGTGGTATTCACCGCATCTAGTCTTATAAGAGGAGTATTTCCTTTTTCCTTGTTCATTGAGTGGGGTGTATGCATAAGTGGGAGAGAAAAACCAAACGACCTGTTTCATTTCCATGCAACTTTTTAATTGGGTGGGCCCATAGACTTTTTAATGGAGATTTCTGACTTCTCCACTGTAAATGCCTTTAAGGAGCATTAATTTTTGAAAGTTTTACAGAATTTTGTTACTTTCACTGCTTTTTCTTACTGATCTCTTCGGGCCTGTGCTGTGGAGTGCAGGCTGCCTGGCAATTGCACTATATTTGGCTGCAGATTCAAACAGGCAGTTCTCTTACGTGTCTGGCTTTTGTGAATGTGTGATATAATCAAATGTGATGTGTGTCACAGGGACAGATAGCACTGCCATGGTCAAAAGTAAAAGGTTCTCCCTATTTGGAAAAAAATTAGCTTTTAATGTTTCCAAGTTTTTTAAAGTGCCCATTTTATGCTGCTATGTGGTTTGTTAGATCTAAATGATTTTTAAACTTCTCTCATAGAAAGTTAACTTTGGCAATAAGCATTTTTAAGGCCCCTCCCCTTTCTCCCCCAACAAGGTAGTTTTATAGATGAAATTTTGGTATGATTTTATCAACTATTTCTTAATATATCATAACCTGGATATTCTGAAACCAGTCAGTCAATAAAGACATATATTTCCATGCCCTTTAAAATAATTGTTTGGTTTTTTAAACCTATTTTATAGTCATAGTCTGTGACCTGTCACCTTTTTTTCTTTTAAAATAAGCTGGAACCAGGATGCTTCCTGGTTAGCCAGGCTTTGCCAATGTATAAGGCACATTGAGTGATGCTGGACTTAAAAAAAAAAGGTACCGGGGCTGGAGAGATGGCTCAGTGGTTAAGAGCATTGCCTGCTCTTCCAAAGGTCCTGAGTTCAATTCCCAGCAACCACATGGTGGCTCACAACCATCTGTAATGAGGTCTGGTGCCCTCTTCTGGCCAGCAGGCGTACACACAGACAGAATATTGTATACATAATAAATAAATAAATAAATATTTAAAAAAAAAAAGTACCAGCATGTAAAAAGCTCATTTTCCCTGGGAATTAAGGCTGTGCACACAGCTGCTTACAGTACAGTTCTGTTTGTGCTTCTCTCAGCCTGAAATGTGCTTGGTGGCTTTGCCTTCCTCTTTTTCAGCTACAACTATGTGGAAGAAGTTGATTTTCCCCCTTTTTCTGTAGAGTCTGGATTCCCTCACAGGAAGACAGGACTCCTTTTCTTGTCCAGCAAAGGGAGTTGGTACAAAGCAAGCATCAATTAGAAACTAGGGGAAATGGATTCTGTATTTAATGTAGATAATACTTTGTAAAGGACAAGCGTTACATAGTCTAGGTAGTTCCACCCAGGGTTTCCCAGCCCACATTTTACTCTGTCCTCAAAGGGCAAGGGGTGAAAGGTAAGAGGCTCTCTGAAGAGCCACACTCCTTGAGCTGAGGAAGGAGCTGGGAAGAGACAAACACAATATACTGAAAACAATTTTGTTGTCTCTATCTAGAAACCATTGGTGGGAAACACTGGATCAGATGGTGAAGGGTGTTTGCTTGAACTCATTAGTTGATTCAAGATCCAAATCTGTTAAACTCGCCTTCTCAAAATCCCAGCAATACAAAGCACTGTTCTCCTTCAGTCTTTTCAGCAAGTTTGTAAATACATTAATGTTTACATTTCCGTGTGCTGTTGCTCAGCAATGCCACCACCAACGTTAGCTGAACTGGTCTCTGAGAGAGTTTTTAAATGTTCATCGAGTACTTTAGCTCGTGAGGATGAGTGCAGACATCCTTAATCTCTGCAGACAGTGGGGAAAAGCAAGTCCTGTGGCTGAAGCACAACGAAGGCAGGAGTGAAGAGATGGCTGATACTATTTTTTTTTTTTTTTGCGAATACCTCACTTGGATAATACAAATCTGGACATGTTGATCAATGGCTGGCTGCCCCTTTTATTCACACTCATTCAGGGAGAGCACAGAAAATACTCTTCAGCACAGCCGCTCTGGATCCAAGAGGAGGAAAAAAATGGGAGCTTTTTAGGAGAATGAGAACTCACCTGGAGCCTGTGGCATGAAGAACTCTTGATGGCTGGCTAGCTGGCTGGCCGGCCAGCAGGCACCACACCTGCACTTACTTGAGTGCCGCAGGCTCACTGGTTAACAATGCACAGAAGAAAGTCTTGCCATCTTCCTGCATGATGGAACAGGAAGCAAGCTGGGTGCCCAGAAGCCCTGATCCATCTGCCTGCAGTTGGGTTCCATGTTTGACCTTGAACAAAATACCCAAAACACCTCAATCTGTCCTAGTATGCTGTGGCCTATTAGTGTGGTGGTGGAAGAAAGGCCAGGAGGCCAGTTTTTGTAGGAAAACAGTACCATTAAGGGTGTGATGCTGTTGTTTTGGACAAATGGAAAGAAATATGGAAGAATTAGGACTGTTGGGGAAAAGCTTGCCAAGGGGTGAATAGTTAAGAGGTGATCCCTGCAGAATCAGAACTGCAGTAATACTGTCGCAAGCAAATCTGAATGCATAGTTTTAATTTAATTAGGGTTGACAATTCAAATAGTTCTCCCCTCGAAACTGACTGAATCGTTATGCATGTGTCAGTCAATGGGAGGTGTGCATTCTCTAGAAGTAGTGTTAGGCTGTCTGGTTTTCTTAAACGCAGCCTATTTAGGCACTGTCATGTAGTGTGAAAGATTGCAGTATGGCAACGCTGAAGAATAACAGTTTGGGGCTAGGGAGCACAGGACATTAAGAGTGGGGAAGACCCAAATGTTGAAATAATTATGTTTTGTTGTTGTTGTTAGTTGTTGAGTCCTGAGCCGTTTATGAAGTGAACCAGCTGGCTTAACGCAGCTAGCATTCTGGGCAGGCAAACCACATTTACTCCTACTGTAAATTCTATATGCTGCTTCCAAAGGTGATGACTTACAAGCAGGCATGTTCTGTATGTCCTGTATTTTAGCATCTGGTGCCCGATCTATATCCATGCCCTTACCCACCTGACTCAGCTGCCTATTCCTTCCCCTGGGAAAAGATAATCCACTGTTTTAGCAAGGCTCACCCTCTCTACCCTAGTCGCCCTCTGTGGATATATTATACGATTCTCTTGCTCATTAGCAAGGTGGCAGCTCAGCTTTCATTTTAAGAAAGTGGAGGTTAAGGGCATTGTATTAATATTGCTTCAACTCCAAGAATTTTTTCTTGTAAAATTAAAGGAAAGATCTTTATTGGCCAACTGTTTTCTTTTCCCTTGCTATTGACAGATTCATATTTTTTCTGTGTCTACTGGCTGAAAATGTTTGTTTGTTCATCTGACTAACGGTGTGGTTTTTGTTTCTCTGTTGTTAGACTTGTAATGTTTTAAAATGTATTTTTATTAATTTGGACTGGATGTCTGTCTCTAGCAATACGAGGTACTTTCTAAGCTATTAAGGAAGGGTTTGTATCCCTGTGTGAAATAAGGTGATGGTTGTTTAAAAATTTTTTTTTGGCCTGCAGGGATATTTTGTGTTCATGTGTCCAAAAAGATGGGTAGGGGGGTGGGTGGGAGAGATAAATTGGCATTCTGTGCTAAAAGTTGTTTTTCTTGTCAGTTGTTTAATAAATATGGAATATATTGTAATGGCATCATACATGGCTACTTTTAAAAACAATTTCATCTATTTGAAAATTGAACAAAGAAGAGAAGTGAAACAAGTGTTTAATTCTGGGTCTCCCCATGTTTAGGAATTGCCATTGGGGAGTTTTTGAAGGGCTCCCAGCACCACTTCATATATGGAAACTTTGACAAGATTCATCAGGGTTCTAGGTACTGCTCTCAATGGGAAGGGAAGCTCTGATTAAGTGATATTTTAAGGAAACTGGTGAGATGTGGTGGCTCGCTCCAGTAATTCCAGAAGTTGGGAGGCTGAAGCAGGAACATTATTACGATTCTGAGTCCATCCTGGGCTTTAGAGTGGGACCCTGTGTATTAGCTACTTTTCTCTTGATGGATAAAACATGACCAAAAATGTTTGTGGTTCTAGAGGGAGAGTCCACAATGGCATGCAAATGTGGCAGCAGGCAACCTCAGCAAGAAGCTGAGAAATCACGTCTTCAACCACAAGCTTGAAGAAGAAAGTGATCTGGAAATGAGGCAAGGCTGTAAACTCTCAAAACCTGCTTCCTGGGATGAATTTCATCCAGCAAGCCTGCCCTTGCATAGCCTCCCTAAATAGCGCCACCAACTGGGAGCCAGGTGTCCATATGCTTGAACCTGTTGGGGACATTTTTCAGTCAAACCATTACACTGTGTCTCAAAGACAAGCAAACAAAAACAAAAGATCCACGAAGACAGTATGGCCAGATGCTTATATTTATGACTTAAGTTCTCTAAAGCTTCCCAAATTCACACAAAACAGGGTTTCCAGTCTCTTGTCTTGTTTGGTTTGGGGGCAAAGTCTCCCTGTGTAGGCCAGACTGGTCCTAAACTCTTACTCCTGCCGCCATAAGAACTCCAAGATTACTAACATGAGCTAACATGCCCAGCTCATGACCTCTAAAACTTAAAAATAAACCTTTTGCTGAGTTATGATAATAATGCAGAATTTGCCCAATCTGAACTTTATTCTTGGGGACTTTCATTCATCAGGAGAGAAAGTCCTGCATACAACCAATTTCTGTGAAGGTGGCTTCTGGTTTTCCACCGGCAGTTTGTCCTGTGCCAGCTATCCGAATGCATCACAAATGAAGTGCCTACAATCTCCCCCTCAATACTCAGGACATGGAAGAGTTAACAGCTTCCTCAAACAGTTCATTCTGAATTTGAAGAGGGCTCAGTGAGTAAAGTGCCCACCATACAAGTCTGAGGACCAGAGTTCAGATCCCCAGAACCCACATGAAAGCCAGGTGGACATGGAAGCTTGCCTGTAATTCAGCAATTGGAAGATGGAGACAGGAGCTGGAGAAATGGCTCAGTGGTTAAGAGGATCCAGGTTAATCCCAGCACTCGGGAGGCAGAGGCAGGCGGATCTCTGGGAGTTCGAGGCCAGCCTGGTCTACAAGAGCTAGTTCCGGGACGGGCACCAAAGCTACAGAGAAACCCTGTCTCAAAAAACAAACAAACAAAAAAAAAGAGGATCCAGGTTTAACTCCTAGCACCCACAATGGCAGTTAGCTACTGAGTATAATTACAAGATCTGATACCCTCACACAGACTTACATATAAGCAAAACAACAGTGCATATAAAATAAAAATTATTTTTTAGAAAAAGAAGAAGATGGAGACAAAGTCCCAGGAGCAAGGTGGTTAGCTAGACTATCCACATTGGTGGCCATTTTGAAACCCTGCCTCAATAAAGTAGAGAGTAATGGATAATCCCAATGTTAGCCTCAGGCCTCCACATAACATATGAGTGCACATGCCTACACACATGTGCACCCATACATATGTGAACATGCATACACACATCACAGATGCATGCACAATTGATTAAAAGAGTTTATTCTAACAGGGCATGTGGTGAAGGAAGAGGCAACGTAGCTAACATACGAATGCCCACTTGTCAGGCACTTAACAGGGACATCTTTAATATTAGCAACAGCTCTTGGAGGTTGAGAGTGGAATCTTCATTTTTCAAGAAAAAGAGCTTGGGGGATATAGTTCCTTTATGCAATGTATGCATATGGCCATGGGTTCAATCACTAGCATGGCAAAAATAAAACCAGCCAATCAGCTGAGAGGTTAAATACACAATTACTGAGTGGCAAAGCTATACTCTAAGTGCATGCTTTCTTTAACTTAATTTCACCGACTGTTGAGCATAAAATAACAGATGCTGCTCCAAACAAAGAATTTGCCATGGGAGTCAAGAAAGGCTTCACAGTTTTAGCGGCTGGGACAGATTATAAAGCACAAGCAAGCTGAGGAAGGAGTGAGGAGACTCTAGGCACACTGCTCCCTCATAGCAGGTTAGAGAAACTATAATTGTCTAAATATGGTTTCTTACTCTTCTTCTGGGAGGCAGAATCCCTTTGTTATATGGAAACCGATGAGTTAGCTGTCTTAATAAAGAACAGTTTTATGAGGCAAGAGGATCACTGTCATTTTAAACCTAACCTGGTCTGTACAACAAGTTCTAGTCCAGCCTGAGCTATCACAGCAAGACCCTTCATGTAAAAAAGGTGACGGAGAACTACTCAGCCATGAAAAAAAAAATGGCTGGGGGCTCAGTGATTAAGAGCATTGACTGCTCTTTCAGAGAAATCCAGATTCAATTCCTAGCACCCTTAAGGCAGCTCACAGTTATTCGTAACTCCAGTTTTAAGGGATCCTTTGCTCTCTTCTGTCCTCTGTGGGCACGAGACATACACTTGGTGCACTGACATACATGCAGACAAAAATAACCATACACATAAAAATTTTAATATTTTTTCAAATGGCTAAAATCCTGTCTTGTTGGTAACATGGATGAATGTGATGGTTGATATGTTAAAGAAGCCAGGCATAGAACAGCAAGCCCTGCATAATCTCACCTATGTGCAGAAAGTAACATAGTTGGTTTCTTAGAAGTAGAGGGGATGGGCCAGAGAGGTGGCTCAGTGGTTAAGAGCACTAGACTGCTCTTCCTGAGGTTCTGAGTTTATTTCCCAGCAACCATATGGTGGCTCACAACCATCTGTAATGGAATCAGATTCCTTCTTCTGGTGTGCATGAAGACAGAACACTCATATACATAATAATGTATATAAATAAATAAATGTTTTGAAAAAAGAAGTAGCGTGGAATGGTGGTTACTAGGAGCAAGTTAGGTGAGCACCACAGGATACAGAGTTTCAGGTGAGTAGAATTAGCACAGGAGCTCTATTGAACAGCTTGGTGAATGTTGGTTTATTTCTTGAAAATCACTAAGAAAGCCAACCTTTAAGTATTCTTACCACAAAATTCTGGAAGCTAGAAGAGGGCTCCAAAATCCCTTGAAGCTGGAGTTACAGGTTGGGTTGTGAGATGCTTACTGTGGATTCTGGGAATGGAAGTCAGGTCCTCTGCAAGAACAGTGTAGACTCTAACCAGGTCAACCACCCCTCCACCTCTACTTCTCCCCCATCACCTTTTTACCGCAATGCAGACGGTTGAACTCAGGACCTCCTTCATGCTAGGCAACCACTGTGCCACCTAGCTCTAACCTCAGCCCATTATTCTTAGATTTTCAAGGACTGGAAGGGGGAGGAAATAGAGGTGGTAAGGCTAGCTAAGAGTGAGGCACCGATGATTCACAGGACAGGACCTGAATGGCATTTTAAGTTTAGAAACTGTCTTACAGGCACAGATTGGGCTTTGTGCTAGTTTTGCTGGCAAGAATACTATGACAGCTGGAAGCTGAAATTCTGCTAAGAGAAGCTCAAAGGTTTTGTAATTTTTGCGAGCAAACATGGACGAGGCTTGAACTTGAGCAGTGAGGTGCAGTCAGAGGGAATAGAGATGAGAACGAAAATAGAAAAGACTTTGGTAGCTGAGCAGATATGGAGAGTGAGGGGAGGGAGGTAAACTCATTAGGGATTCCAGCCTCTTATCTCAGTAGGTGGATAAACAATAGTGCCACTGAGAGGATGAACAGAGGAAATCAGCAGGCTTATGGGAAGGAGAGAGATGGTAAATTCAGTTTAAGGCAAATCGGACTGGAGGGCCATTGTGTTTGGACTGAAGAAAGAGATTGGACACATCAGTGTGTCAGTGGTGATTAAAGGCATTCAAGTGTTGTAACAGGAGGGTCAGGCGGATGGGAAAAGCATGGAGTCCTGAGGAACACAGATGTTTAAAGGCAGACGAAGGGTAAAGGAGTCTGCCTTTCTAGAAACTGAAAGAAAAGAGGACTCCTTGTCAGCTATGGTCCTGCACACCTAAAACCCCAGGACTCAGGAGGCAGCGGCAGAAAGATCACTACAAGTTTAAGACCAGCCTGGTCTAGGTAATGAGTTCTAGCCCAGGAACCCAAATAGTGAAAGGAGAGGACCAATTCTTGCAACTTGCAAATCATCCTCTGACTCACACACACAGATGTAAAATATGTTTAAATTAGAAAATGCTCTAATAGTCTCTTCTGTTTCGGTCTCAGTTTTTCTACTTACATGTGGGATCTTTCTCTCTACTTCCTTCATGGTCTCCCTCATCACACTCTTTATTTCTGTCTAGTATTTTCAATTGTTGTTCTCTCTTCAGTTCTTCTCCAGTGTACACATGTCCTCAAACCTCTCCCATTCCGCAAATACAAACTACTCCAACTTCATCGAATACCAGAATTTATTACTTCCCATTATGTCTGATCTTCTAGTAGATCTGTCCTAGGGACTCCCCAGCTCTCTTCAGTCGTGATCTGCTCCCTCCAGCCACAGGGATTGCTTTCATCACAATTAATCCTGACTTCCTCGCTGCAAATTCCAATGGACATCTTTCAGATTTTGTGTTTAATTCTCATGGTCCTGGCGTTTGAATCCATGGCTGACTTTACAGGTGTGAGCCATCACTGCCTGACTCTAT